GCATATAAGGTTAACAAACAAAAAATAGAGGTTTTAATAATTCATTTAGATGTGCAAGACAAAATTTATATAATGCAACCACATAGGTTGAATATAATAAAGTAAAATATTTAAGAGTGAGATTAATAGAAGATGTGAAGTTTAAGAAACTGATTCAGCACATAAAGTCTGACTTTAAAAGATTGGGAGGGGGGATTTAATTTATCCTGGATAGGCCGGGTAAACTCAATTAGGATTGTTATTCTGCCAAGATTCCTGCTTCTGTTTATTGCACTACCTCTGTCAATAGATTCAAAAGAACTAAGAAGTTGGCAGAAAATGCTGAACAGCTTTATGTGGCATGATATCCCATATAAACAGCCCAAAATTGATGTCAATACCATGCAAACCCTAGAACAGAAGGGAAGTTTGGCAACCTCTATTCTAAGTATATACTATGAGACAGCACAGTTAAGTTGGCTGAGGACTTGGTTATCCCATGATGAAGATTTACACTGTCTAGAACAATTTTTTTACTGAAACACTCTTAGAAACTTGCATGTGGGCAGCATGTTTGTAGGAAATACTGGGTCAAACATGTGCATTAAGACAGAAGTAAATTTGGAAGAAAATGGCAGTAAACAAAAAAAATTGGTCAAAAATCTGTCTGTTATTTATGGATTTGAGGGGAGAAATATAGTTAGTAGAATAAGATGGGGAAAGGAACTGTGTTGCTAAGTTCTCAGAACAACAGAATAGGATCTAGAGTCAAGGTGAGAGGAAGAAGGGAATGTCCCACTGAAGATTCCATTCAGCTTGTGCAATATTACTGATGTTAACCAGATAGCTAGCTATTGTTCCTCTGCAGTTTCATCTTTGATTAATTATTCCTAAATTCGTAAGTAAAAACTGGTTACTGGTACAAGTAAAATTGCATGCTCTCAAGAAGCACAAGATATGCTTCTAAAATCTGCATTACACATACCAACACACAGCACGTGATCCAGAGCCCTACAAATACAATGGTACCTCGGGTTGCAGACGCTTCAGGTTACAGACTCCGCTAACCCAGAGATAGTACCTTGGGTTAAGAACTCTGCTTCAGGATGAGAACAGAAATTGTGCAGCAGCAGCAGCAGGAGGCCCCAATAGCTAAAGTGGTGCCTCAGGTTAAGAACAGTTTCAGGTTAAGAACGGACCTCCAGAACGAATTAAGTTCTTAACCTGAGGTACCACTGTATGCACTTGAGGTTTTGCTCAAGTATGAACCAATCTCCAACTTGGAAGAAAACAGGGCATCTTCTGTATATGCAGAGTCTCCATGCGCACATAGATTCATAGAATCATAGAGTTTGAATAGACCACAAGGGCCATTGAGTCCAACCCCCTGCCAAGCAGGAAACACCATCAGAGCACTCCTGACATATGGTTGTCAAGCCCCTGCTTAAAGACCTCCAAAGAAGGAGACTCCACCACACTCCTTGGCAGCAAATTCCACTATCAAACAGCTCTTACTGTCAGGAAGTTCTTCCTAATGTTTAGGTGGAATCTTCTTTCTTGTAGTTTGGATCCATTGCTCCGTGTCCGCTTCTCTGGAGCAGCAGAAAACAACCTTTCTCCCTCCTCTATATGACATCCTTTTATATATTTGAACATGGCTATCATATCACCCCTTAACCTCCTCTTCTCCAGGCTAAACATGCCCAGCTCCCTTAGCCGTTCCTCATAAGGCATCGTTTCCAGGCCTTTGACCATTTTGGTTGCCCTCCTCTGGACACGTTCCAGTTTGTCAGTGTCCTTCTTGAACTGTGGTGCCCAGAACTGGACACAGTACTCCAGGTGAGGTCTGACCAGAGCAGAATACAGTGGCACTATTACTTCCCTTGATCTAGATGCTATATTCCTATTGATGCAGCCCAGAATTGCATTGGCTTTTTTAGCTGCCGCGTCACACTGTTGGCTCATGTCAAGTTTGTGGTCAACCAAGACTCCTAGATCCTTTTCACGTGTACTGCTCTCAAGCCAGGTGTCACCCATCTTGTATTTGTGCCTCTCATTTTTTTTGCCCAAGTGCAATACTTTACATTTCTCCCTGTTAAAGTTCATCTTGTTTGTTTTTCAACCCACATGCACACCAAAGCCATTGGTTTGTGATAGTTCTTTGCATTGTCATTATACATACATATTGTGTACACACACACTGTACTGTTTTGCCAAAGTATAACCATAAAATATACCAAGAACTGTCTAAGGGAAGCTGTGTTAAGTAACACATATCACACAGCAGGCTCTCATCTGAGGCATTTGTTGCTTGTATTCCAGAGCAAGATGCTATTACTTTTCCATGTGGTAATCCACCAGACAAGAAACACATCAGGCAAGGACAAGGCAATCAGTGTCTTAGTTTACAATGTGTGAATCCCCGAAGCGAGAAAACCAATCATTAGATAAAAATAGATGCTACACTGAGCCAGGAAGCTTCAAGCCGACTTTGGCCTGAATGAGCACAGATGAAAAGGCAGTGGCACAAAGGGTCTATTACAAAAAGCACGCAGTCAAAAATGTCCAATGTGAAGTGAGGGCAACATGTTCTCTCATGTAAGCAGCAATCATATTAAAATGAGAAACCTCTGTTTGCAAGAAAATTCTTCTGAATATGAAAAATTGAATTGTACAAGGTCAATAAAGGGCACACAGTATTTAAAAAATGTGTGCCATGCCCATGAAGTATATACTATAAACAGATACAATTATTAACCCAAATAGAGCCTAGGACATGACAATTCAAATATCTAAATATGGACTGTTTGCACCAATCTTAAGAGTCAGCTTTTCATAATGTTGTTAATGGTGGAAACGCTTCAGTAGAGCTTGTAGTTCTAACGTGTAGAAGATCAAGTCAAATGCAACAAATCTGAACACAATGAATCGGGGAAGGCAGTTGCATAATAAGGACAGTTATTGCAGCCCATCAAACAACGTAAATGCATCAATTTTGTCTGTGCTAAAATACTCAGGAGGAGACTAATTCTTACGCTGACAATTGCCAAATAAATGTCAGCAGGAGTGACGAACTTGAACAAAACGATTTTGTATTGTACCCAGAAGCATAGGCTGCAGCAGGCAGCAAAACTCAGCCAAAATACTAGACAAGAAGTCAAAGGGAGGATACGATGTGTGGGGACCAGATCTTGGCATTCGAATCCTGCAGCTGTCAAACACATTTCATAAAAGGTTTCTTGTCTGCAGAACTTGCAAGATACATAAAAAGAGGACAAATGGAAGGAAAAACAAACTGTAGCAGAATAAACTGGCATAACAAGGGCAAATATACCACTATTGCAGGACTGCTACATTCTAAGTATCATCCTCCCTACACAGAAATGTTCATTTGCAATCTGATAATTCATTGTTGCAAAAGCGAGATCCATCAATAAGATGTTTAATGCAAGATCACTGGGACAAGAGATAAGTCACTATGTATAAGACATCTGAAGGCAGCCCTGTTTAGGGAACTTTTAAATGTTTGATGTTTTATCACATTATTATTATTATTTCTGTTGTGAGCCACCCAGAGTTGCTGGGGAAACCCACCCAGATGGGTGTGGTATAAATAATAATTTATTTATATTACTTATTATTATTATTATTATTATTATTATTATTATTATTATTATTATTATTATTATTTCAATTTATTACCCAGCCCTAGTACAGATGCAGAACAAAGACTTAAGATGAAAAATGAATTGCATGTAACTGGGGGGAGGGGGAGCAGCAGCTCAGAAGAAGAACTTTGTGTAAGGTGGAAAACAGCAATAAGCACTGATAATGAAGGGACTGTGCAGCTGTGAACAGCCCATTATACTTACCACGAAAGGTATTTCTGAAGACCCCACAAAAGCTGCTGCCAGATTGGGATTTAGGCATAGCACCACCTGGCAGTCAAAAGGCAACACTGCAAGCTTTGTAAAAAAATAAAGAATTCAAATAGGAAGCTGCTGTTTAAGTGGCTGGAAGGACGTGCTGCAGCACCCTCCTTCCACAGGCAGCCTCAGCTGAGGCAAAAGTGTCAATTTTGTAATGCTTAAGGAACGTGGAAGGTGTCGACCATGTGGGTGCTTTGAAAATCTCTTGCAGTGGGGCATTTAGGGAGAAGGATGCGGGGGCTGCCCTAGTTGAGTGAGCCGTGATTCTGGTAGGTGGAGGAAGGTTGAGAGAGACATAAGCCAATGAGATGCATGCTCTCAGCCATCAGACTCTCTTTCCCATCAAGGGAGGATGAAAGCAGATGAAGAGGACATGGCAACTCCCTTTTGGAGAGATTTCCAAATAGAATGTACAGTGGTACCTCAGGTTAAGTACTTAATTCGTTCCAGAGGTCTGTTCTTAACCTGAAACTGTTCTTAACCTGAAGCACCACTTTAGCTAATGGGGCCTCCTGCTGCTGCCACGCCGCCGGAGCACGATTTCTGTTCTCATCCTGAAGCAAAGTTCTTAACTTGAAGCACTATTTCTGGGTTAGCAGAGTCTGTAACCTGAAGCGTCTGTAACCTGAAGCGTATGTAACCCGAGGTACCACTGTAATGTGTCTGGATCTGAAAATGACAGTACTTTATGAATTGGTTGAAAAACTTGAGGTCTAATACAATTCCAAGGGATCCATCTTTCTACAGATCCCTGATCCACGTTTTCCTTGAAGAACATGCTTCACTGCTGCTATATCCAGTACTGGAGTTAACAGACTTATGTTCACTGATTTCAGTGGGTATACTCAAGAGTAGGATTAATGCCAGCTTTCCCCTATAGCATGAATAAGAGTAGCTCCTAACCTCAGCTGCTGCCTGTTGTGACATAACAAAGCATGCCAGCTGCAAGTGGAGGACAGGAATATCTCCGTGACAACCTAGTGCAACAACAGTGTCCAGATTGGTCCAGTGTTGTCACATGATGGCAATGGGGTCAGCTCAGTTCCTCTCTGCCCCCCAGAACGATACTGCCAGTGGCAATTTCGCCTGCCCACTCTCTCAGCAGGTAGAACGTGGGCTCTGCAGCACCAGAATGACTCCGGCATCACTCCAAAGGCAGAGGCCAGTGCCGCTAGATGTATAGACACTTCTGCCTATACAACATCCCCACAACCTAGAGCAAAGGGGGTTTGGATTGCTCTGTAGCAGGTAGGTTCCTTCTTTTGTTTTCTAGATTTCTCCCTTCGACCCTACGAAACATGGTCCAGCAGACTATAAAGGTAAAGGTAGAGAGACCCCTGACCATTAGGTCCAGTCGTGACTGACTCTGGGGCTGCAGCGCTCATCTCGCTTTACTGGCCAAGGGAGCCGACGTTTGTCCTCAGACAGTTTTTCCAGGTTGTGTGGCCAGCATGACTAAGCCGCTTCTGGCAAACCAGAGCAACACACGGAAATGCCGTTTACCTTCCCACTGGAGTGGTACATATTTATCTATTTGCACTTTGACGTGCTTTCAAACTGCTAAGTTGGCAGGAGCAGGGACCGAGCAACTGGAACTCACCCCGTCACAGGGATTCGAACCGCCAACCTTCTGATCGGCAAGTCCTAGGCTCTGTGGTTTAACCCATAGCGCCACCCAGCAAGTCCTAGGCTCTGTGGTTTAACCCATAGCGTCCCCCAGCAGACTGTACAAAGGCATAAAAAGAATATGTTTCAAATATATTCCTGAAACTTCTTAATATACTTACAGACGTTTGTTCCAGGATTGGGATTATAACTTTCTAATAAATCTAAACTAAAATTAGTAATTTACATCTAATGATTAGATGCTAAAGCTGCAATCCTACTTAGGGAGTAAGCTCCATTTAAAAACAGCGGGAGCTACTTGCAGTAAACATGCACAGAATTGCACTGGTAAAGCTTGCGAGAAGTTTTTCATTTATTTTCACCCGAGGCATTTCTTCTTTATTATTCCTGTTGATATTTGGAATGTCAAAATGAAATTTCACTAGACCCATGAGAAGACAGAGTTCAATTAAATTAACTAACAGCCTGTGTACTCATGTGCCCTCTAGTGGGCGAGTTCCCTTATTTAATAAATGAGACATTCATTAAACACCTACTCCATAAAAGTATTTCTTAATGGCAATCAAGACGTGGGGATTAGTCACTTAATTTAGCTGACATTTTCTTTAAAAAACTATTTATGATGACAAATAGACTACTTTAAAATGATAAAACAGATCAGCCTTTCAAGAACAGTTCCAGAAGATGATTTTTATTTTTTTAGGGCAGTTAATTAGGCTTTCACCAAAATGCCTGAACAGTATTTTACTATTGAACAGAGTCTTGAAGAGGAATGACAAATTATGAAGTGTCTATAGTATGCAAACCTCTCCAGCTAGAGATACTTGTTATTCTATTGTTTAGGGAAGTTTTTAATGTTTGATGTTTTATCGCTTTATTATTAATATAAATATTCTGTTGGGAGCCACCCAGAGTGGTTGGGGAAATTATTATTATTATTATTATTATTATTATTATTATTATTATTATAACTCCCCTCAAGCAGGAACCCATATGCAACCTCGCTAAACATCCTACTAGTAAAGGACACTGTCCCAGAAAGAAATACATCCTAAATTCCCTCTTTCAGCGATATTTTCAGGGTTGTCCATCTAATGTGATGATAGCCAAAATCTGGGCCAAAAACACAACCTGAGTTATATTAATGGGATAGACCGAACTCTGAGACCCCAAATGGTACACAGCTATACAGCATGGGCCTATGTCTGTGTATTTGTGGTGGATACACAAGGTAGGCAACTGCATTTACTACCTCATTACTACTGAGGGAGCACACTTGAAAATACAGAAAAGACCTCAACAGATGTTCTGGTCAATCCACCCCATGGGTAAGTAAACTAAGGCCCGGGGGCCGGATCTGGCCCAATCGCCTTCTAAATCCGGCCCGCGGACGGTCCAGGAATCAGCGTGTTTTTACAGGAGTAGAATGTGTCCTTTTATTTAAAATGCATCTCTGGGTTATTTGTGGGGTAGGAATTCGTTCTTTTTTTTTCCTTCCAAAATATAGTCCGACCCCCCACAAGGTCTGAGGGACAGTGGACCGGACCCCTGCTGAAAAAGTTTGCTGCCCTCTGCTCTGGACAATCTGACAGTGTTTTTTACTATTATTGATTAATTAAATTTGTATACCGCTCTTCATCTAAAGATCACAGGGCGGTTCACAATCTAAAAATACAAAATGAGAACACAAAATGCGTAACTAAAAAACCCAAACCAAACCAATAGCCCCCCCCCCCCCGAACACATTTTAAAAGGCCACCAGTTGTTTAATCTGCCAAAGGCCTGGTTATAACCTCCCTGAAGAAAGCATTAAACAAATGGGGAGCCACTGAATAAAAAGGCCCATTCTTGTGTTTCCACCCTCTGGACCTCTCATGGAGGGGGCACATGAGGAAGGGCCTCAGATGGTTATTGCAGGCTTTAGTTGGTTCATATAGGGAGGCATTGCAATCCTGAGCAGTTAAGGATTCATAGATCAAAACCAAAATTCGAATTGGGCCCGGAAAGTGGCAGTCAAGTCAGGATCATTTGTTATGTGCTCAAACCGTCTTGCCTCTGGAAAGCAATATGGCTGCTGAACTCTGCACCAGAGGAAGTTTCCGAACCATCTCCAGAGGCAGCACCACATATGACATGCTGCTATAATCTAACCTCGACATTAAAGGGTAAAGGGACCCCTGACCATTAGGTCCAGTCGCGGCCGACGCTGGGGTTGCGGTGCTCATCTCGCTTTACTGGCTGAGGGAGCCGGCGTACAGCTTCCGGTTCATGTGGCCAGCATGACTAAGCCGCTTCTGGCGAACCAGAGCAGTGCACGGAAACGCTGCTTACCTTCCCGCCAGAGCGGTACCTATTTATCTACTTGCATTTTGACGTGCCTTCAAACTGCTAGGTTGGCAGGAGCAGGGACCGAGCAACGGGAGCTCACCGTGTCACGGGGATTCAAACCACCGACCTTCTGATCGGCAAGTCCTAGGCTCTGTGGTTTAACCCACAGCGCCACCCTCGACATTACCAGGGCACAAACAACAGAAATTAGGCTATCCTTGTCTAGATAGGGATGCACTCTGTGCCATCGAGGCCACCTGAGCCTCAAGTGACAGCAAAGGATCCAGGAGCATCTCCCCCCAGGCTATGAACCCAGTCCTTCAGAGGAAGTGTAACGCCATCAAGAGCATTTAAACTGCCCCCTAGTCCCCCCTGCAACAGAGGTAACAGCAAGTGGAGGGAGATAGCCCCACTTTCATTTCAGCACACAGAAAATGACGGATTCAGGGATGGCTCTTAGACATATAGGTTCAGTTAAGCGCATTTTGTTTAGTCAATAAAGCTTAGTGAAACGTTCCAGAAGAGAAAATAACAGATGTTAGTCAACAGCATAAAAACTTGGTAAAATACAAGCTGGCATTACAGATCCAAAGCACACTGATGCAGAGTTGAGATACTTTTCCAATTCATAATGACCTAGGTCGTCAAGCAGGCAAGCAAAGACATGAGGCTCTCAAAAGAGGAGACTGACTTGGTGCTACAGTGAAGGAATATATAAAATTCTAGAATTCTATAAGAGTTGGAAGGGACCACAAGGCTCATCTATTCCAACCCTTGCAAAGCAGGGATGTTTTGCCCAACATGGGGCTCAAACCCACGACCTTGAGATTAAGTATCTCATGTTCTGCCAAGCATAGGAGCCAACTCCTGTGGGCCGAGGTCCCTTCAGCCCTCCCAACAAAATATTTGAGGGGGCTGCCCCCACCAAAAAAGTTGATGGGCACTGCCGTTCAAACTGTGTGCGCATGCCGTTTCTTGTGATTGGGCAGGGCGGGGCTTACCTGGGCCCCCCCAAAATATTTTATTCAAGTTGGCACACTGCTACCAACTGAACTACACAAATTTTCCTTTGAAGAATATAAATTTATGAGATGTTGCTAAGCTTAATTGCTAACTAAGACATTTCTAAGTTTAACTGCTAACTATCACCATTATCAAGGGATGTGGGTGGCGCTGTGGGTTAAACCACAGAGCCTAGGACTTTCCGATCAGAAGGTCGGTGGTTTGAATCCCCGCAACGGGGTGAGCTCCTGTTGCTCGGTCCCTGCTCCTGCCAACCTAGCAGTTCGAAAGCACGTCAAAGTGGAAGTAGATAAATAGGTACCACTCCGGTGGGAAGGTAAACGGCGTTTCCGTGCGCTGCTCTGGTTTGCCAGAAGCTGCTTAGTCATGCTGGCCACATGAGCTGTAAGCCGGCTCCCTCGGCCAGGAAAGCGAGATGAGCACCGCAACCCCAGAGTCGGTCACGACTGGACCTAATGGTCAGGGGTCCCTTTATTTTACCTTATCTCCATTATCAGAGGGAAAAGAAAATCATTCTAAATTAGAACAGGATAGTACAGTCCTCAAAATATCTGAATATATGAAATAAATCCAAGAAATCTCAGCTAAAAAATAACACATATTAAGTTTCTTGGACACAGAAGCATGCCTGGTGCACATCTGACCATACTAAAAATTGTCAATTAGAAATTCCGGTGTAGCCTTGTATCTCTGGGAAAACAAGGTTGTCTGGTTAGTTGGGACCAGTTTGCAACTTACTACTCGTGTGGTTGATGACTTTGCTTTAAGTGTGGCTTATTGCTTGTAACTGATGTCTTCTAAGCCAAGCTTAAAGTTTTGTGATTTTATGGCAGGAGAAACAGTCATATTAGGAATAGGGGACAAAGAGCTTCGAATGCCCATGTGGTCTCCATCACTTGTTAGGATGAAGAGGACACCCCAAAGAGATAACTTGTATTTCCAATGCAATAGGTTTAATTATTTTAACCTTTGCCGCCCCGACCTGGCCACAGTGATCCATGCGACGGTCACCTCCAGGCTTGACTACTGTAATTCGCTCTACGCGGGGCTGCCCTTGAAGCTGTACCAGAAACTCCAGCGGGTGCAGAATGCTGCAGTGAGGCTCCTCATGGGGTCTCGGCCATGGGAACATATTCACCAAGTGCTTTCCCAGCTGCATTGGCTCCCGGTGGTGTACAGGGTCAGATTTAAGGTGCTGGTTTTGACCTTTAAAGCCCTTCACAGCCTAGGACCCTCGTACCTACGGGACCGCCTCTCCCGGTATGCCCCACGGAGGACCTTAAGGTCCATATATAGCAACACCCTAGAGGTCCCGGGCCCTAAGGAAGTTAGATTAGCCTCAACCAGAGCCAGGGCCTTCTCAACACTGGCTCCGGCCTGGTGGAAAGCTCTCTCTCATGAGACCAGTACCCTGCAGGATCTGATTTCTTTCTGCAGGGCCTGTAAGACAGAGTTGTTCCACCTGGCCTTTGGCTTAGAATCAATTTGATTCCCTCCCCCTCTTTCTTTTTCCTTTCTCCTCCGGTGAAGAGGCTACATCCTAATGTTTTAATGTTGTATTTTAATCTTTTAAAATTGTATTTTAATCAACTTGTTTTTGTTATTGGTTGTTAGCCGCCCTGAGCCTGGTCTTGGCTGGGGAGGGCAGAGTATAAATAAAAATTTATTATTATTATGAATTGGACTACATTGACTTGAGGGAAATAATTAATATGCGCATCAGTTATGGGGCCTGATTCATTGACTCTGGGACCAGCTAAAGCAGGTTGGGCAGAAGTGCAAGTATTTGCCACATTTTTACAGGAAGCCCTTCCTAACATCCAGGACAAATCATTTTGGTTACCAACTGAGCCAGTTATTTCTTACCTTGTCATAGCAGACAAGGGGGAAAAAACACTGTGAGCCCCATCCGAATTGAGGCAATATTTTAAATATTACCAAATCCCAATTTAGCCTTTTATTTTCTAGTTAAACCTATCTATTCTGATGTTCATCCTAAATTGTATTCTTCACTTTACTAAGCATATTTTTGTAGATCTCATTTGATTCTTTCCAGCTTCACTCTCTCATTCTTGAAGCATGGCAAACAGAAGTGAACACATTATTCACACAAAGGCTTCACTGATGCTGAATTTAGGGATATAACTGTTTCCAATGTCTTATAATATGCAATGACAGCATCCATTTATTTATGACACAGGTGAGATGCGACCGTTGCATGACAACATCGCTTCAGAGACATCCGAAGGAATTTGAAGATCTAGTCTGCAGTCTTCTGCACATTGACCTTGCAAAGTCCCATTGATCCCAAGTAAGTGTGTGGAAGACTGCAAAGTTACTTTTCTAAATTCTTTTTCAGATTCTGTGCGTAACTTTTGTACACAAAATGACCATATTCTTTAATCTGAAATCCTGACAACATTGTCAATTAGTGATGTTATTGGCTGGAAGAGGTAGCAAGTGATTTTAGATGGCTTTAAAAAGATGCATGTAAAGCTATCTGTGTAATAACAAGAGCAAACAAAATATTTATTTTAGCTTGCATTCATCACACACCTCCTAATAGCTTACTTTTATCTTATGACAGTTCCTTTGACTAGTGTTAACCTTGATCAAGCGTATTATAGGGTACGCATTTTCAGCAGCTGCATGCTGTGCCTTCTTTGTATTATCCACTATACAGATTCAGCTTATTATATGCACACATTAGAAGTCTCCTGTGACTTCTTTTGAAGACCTAACTGTATAAAAAAGAGAAAGCAGCTGCATGCTGTGTCCCTTCCACGGCACCGAAAATACCTCTGAGAATTACCACCCGACTAATTTCCTCCAGTCAGAGAAGTGACGCTTTGGATTGACACTTTCTAATCAGTTGGGGGGGGAGGGGAAATAAGTAAATAATTTATTTTGACAGTCACTTCATAATGTATTGTGACAGCCCATAAGCCTATATATTCAAAAATTCTATTTCATGCATTTTGCAAAATTAATTCCAGAAAAACCGTGTGTGTGTGTGTGTGTGTATTCATGCCAAAACCCTATTTGACAAAATATAATTTTTAAAAGACAATTCTTTTGTATTTCAGAAGTTGCTTTGCAAAATTAGCAGATGTTTAAATTGTCCTGAAATAACAGGATTTAAAGAGAATCCCTATATAAATCATGATGATGTCACAGTCCCTGATTACACTGAAATTAAAGTTTTACAGCATATTTCATTAGCATACTTCCAAGCGCTACTGGTCTTTGCTTGGACTCAATTACCTCTTTAGCATGCTCAATTCTGGAGAGGCCTGGCCTGGCATATGCTATCACTTTAGCTCAAGTAGGGAGAAATGAGATTACGAGAAAAGGGGTAAACAACAGTCCCATGTCAACCAGGAATAGCCAAATTTGTCCACCTTGGTTTCATTCCATTTCTCATTTTTCAAATCTTAAGCTCAGTTCCACAATTTCCACATCAGCTTGGGTGTTGTTGTTGTTTTTTAAAAAAGTCCTCTTTAAGGTTCATTAACATCTCATGCATATTTTTCCTAATAAACCTTTTCACAAGCAATTCCCCCTAATAGAAGGCATATTTTAATGTTATATTCATTAATATATGCATTTTTAAAGACACTTTCCCCTAATATATAAATTTTTGATACACGTCATTTGGTTGGGGAAGAGCATTGTGAAATTAAAAAGTGTGCATTTCGTAACAGTGTGCATTTCAAAGGATAGATATGTTGCATATATTGTTTAAGGTAACGTGAACCGGGTAGTTTTGCATTAAAATGGGAACCGAATCACATTTCTCTTCCTTCCCTAATGGCAACACTAACTAGGTCATGTCCCAACACTTTTGGCATCACGTTCACCAGGGCAACATTCAGTACAGTAGGATGTATTCCAAGTACAGGGTCAAAGCAGGTCACAGTGGTCTGACACACAACTGGATTTGTGCAATCGCTAGCAGATACCAAGAACACACATCTGTGATCGTGTTTCCCAAGGCCATTATGGAATTCCCCAGAGTTCCAGGATTATTTCCTGCATTATTGCAGCTCTGAACCAGAGACAGCGAAAAACAAATGAGCCCATCTCACGTTGCCCAGTCTCTTTGGGACGCTGGCAGGCAATGACCGCCCCCTTGCTTAACAGGTTTACCCAGCTGCAGCTGGTTGCTCCATTTGGGGGCCAGAAATGAATTTTCTAATGTCTGGCTGTAGAAAGGTACATTTTTTGCCTTCCTTAAGTCCTCTGTAAGGACTTAATGGTCTTTGCACTGAACAACCATCACAACTTGGGAGGCGAGTCAGGAGAGGACTAAGTTGAAAATGCACCTTTCCTAACACTCTTTTTTGTTATTTTTATTTTATTTTGACAAAGTAATAATCATAAATAAATAAGAATAAAAATGTGCACCCCACCACCGAGACCATTCCATAATAACTATCCAACCTCCCCAAAATTCAACACCTCTTGCAATGGTTTGATCCCTTTCTGTTTTAACAGTACAAATTCTACAAACACCCTCCATAGCTGCTCAAAATCATTTCTCCTGCATATACCCTGTCTTACCTTAATGGCACATGTTAATTTATCATTAATAGCCGTATCCCACACCACTTTATACCATTTTCCATTTTATATTCTGCTTGCCTATTCCACTTCCTAGCTATCATAATTCGTGCAGCTGTCAATTGGGGGGGGGCTTTCCTAACACTTAGCAGAAAAACAAGGGCTTCCCCGTAGCTAGGGACCTGCCTCTAATTAGCAGCTGCAGAATGTGGAATGGGAATGTCCAGCGGATCTGGGCACATGCTAGAAAAGGGACCTGCTCTTAGCCTAACCAAATGCCCATAGCTGTCAACCTTCCCTTTTTTTGCGGGAAATTTCCTTACTCCAGTGCTGTTTCCCGCTGCTTCCCACTGCTATCCCAGATTGTTAGATATCCCATAGACTGTCCCCGGGACAGGTGAGGCTGCTGATCCCTTATTTTCAAATCTGAAAGTTGACAGCTATGCATATGTCTAGAAAAAGGGTTTCACTGCAGTCAAAATCTTCAAGCTTGAGAATAGCACCTAAGTTGGGCTGTACACTGGATTTGGGTCAAGCACAAACCAAAACACTGTAAACAACTAAAAACATTGGCAGGATTTAAAAAAAAAAAGAGTGTTAAGAAAATATGGAGGTTGTGTGTGTGTGTGTGTGTGTGTGTGTGTGTGTAAAGGCAGGAATCTACATCAAAAAGCAGTATGGGGTTGCTTGTAAGGCAGCTTTCAAACAGCCCCACATTGCTATTTGGAGAACACATAAGAGAAAGCCAAGGTGAGCAGGACTGCATTGTCCGCTCACCAGCTAGTGAGCAGAAGGTTTATTCCTGGTTTCTGCAGCACAATGGGAGGCGGGAAGGATACATCTATTTTCTCCACCCCCTCCCAACCGTAAGTTCATTAAGGGTTTCAAAACTCTTGATTAAGCCCACATTTGGGATGGCGGTGAAGAAGACGCAGTGTCTCCTTCCCTCACCCCCACACTCTACGACCATACACTTGATTAGCGTATAAAACCCTAAACAAACATTAGGGCACACACCCCCAATCGATTTGGGGCCCAGATCCAGTTGGACCCAGGTTAGGGCTGATCCAAAGTCTTGGACCCAGAGCAGATATGGGGTGTGGATAACCAGGCCATTTCTTCAGGTAAAGTTTGAGGTGGGGGAGAAAAAGTCCCACACCAGCCACTCATTTCTTAATTGTAAATAATGAATAAAGTGTATCCAAATTCTAAACCCCAAATCAGGGTCCACTTCTTCCTTGCCAACCGCAATTGCACTGTTGTGGTCTGCACCGAAGCTCAACAATTGATGTGGAGTACCATATAATTTCCCCATTTCACTGCCCCTTCTCCTGTTTCCTCCTATACCGAACCACCACCTGCTGTCGATGCAAGCACAGCCCGCACTCCCTCTCCTGTGGTCGCCTATTAATACATGGCAGATAATGTGGATTGAGCCTTAGCCGAGAGGAACAAACTGTTTCAATAGTGCAGTAATTGGCCTTCCTCCTGGATTGTGACAAATGAAATGTTTATATTCAACTAACCGGGCAATAACTGTATACATTGAAATTGTCAAGGCACTTAGACCAGAGACAAAGCCAATTAAGTCAATGAAATCTAAACAAGATTAGTAGGTCAGGCCTTAAAATTTCAATTAAACATTCCACTGATAGTATTGGGGCAACTAAGAAAACCTAGTTATTGGGAATGGCCCTGGAGGGTCAATTCCCAGATACTTTGTGACAGGCCCCAGATCTCCTGATCCTTTCCTACTCCCTTAAAAAAAATAAAAATCCAAAGTTTTGCTTTACTTTGCTTACAGGTACAGGGTAATAACCCAGCCACTCACCATCTTAATTTGCCCAGGTGTATCTATCCATATAATTTGTCCTATGCCAGTTTTATTCGAATTTGTGTCATGGGTCTATGAACAACGTCCTTTAGTCAAGGAGGAATCCTTGAGGGCCAAAGGAGTCAAAGGTGATGACTGTTTAAAGGAAAAGTGAGCAAGGCTTGTCAACACTTCCACTTGTCATGTGCTTTCTGGGCACGGATCTGAGCCGTTTTCCATTTGCCGCACCACTTTCCCCAGGAAAACCTGCTCTTCAGCGCTGAATTGGGAGAAAAGGTCAACCCACAGAAATCACGTTGAAATTACTCTGAGCCAGAGACAAAAGATTGGGTTTTCCCACGGGAAAATGGCAGGTCAAGTAGAAGTCTGGGTGAGCCCTTCATGCAGTGTTTCACAATCGGGGACTATATTTATTTTTATTTATTTTATTTAGGAGAGGTGCTGTGCTTTGCAACCTCAAGCATGGCGAGAACACTTTTTTCTGTAAGAGTCTTCCTTTTGAGGCCCTAAAATTTAATAGACAGTCTTTTACACAACCAACTGTCCAGGACCTGCTGGTGGACAGCGATGATCAGATTACTTTAATAGTGGCTGAATTTTTAAGTCCTGTCCATGAAGAAAGAATGGGCCATGATAAAGAGACTTAGTGGTTCTTAATGGTAGGTGATGTTGCTGTGCTGTATTATATTATCTATGTACATAGATTTATTTCTTGGAGTTAAGAATAGGTCTGAGATAAATTGTGTTCGCTGAGCCTGTATTTTATACAGTCTGTATATGATGTTTGTTTGATAATGTGTGGTGTGCTATGCCTAATAAAGGATTTTGAATTGAAATTTATTTTATTTTTAAAATTTCTATACCGCTCTAGATTTTTAAGAAAAATCTCAAAGTGGTTTACAGCATATTAAATTAATTAAACATAAACAAAACAATCTGAAGAAAGTCAAATATAAAGTATACAGTCAAAGCAAGATAACAGAAAACTAAAATATTATCTTAAAGATTTCAAAAGAAAACATTACAAAGGAGGCCAACTACTGATATGGCCCCCTGGGGGCCCCAGGATATTCCAAGGGGGCCCCAGGTGAAAATCGCGTAAATGGGGGGCCACAGCATGAGGCTGTGAGGGCCACAGAGGGAAGTCAGAAGTGAAGGGGGGAAACTTTTTTTAAAATCCTGATTGGCTGGCTATCCGCTTGGCCAATCACAAGCGGGTAAGGGAACGGTTCACCAGGGACTAGCGCTCCTTTTTGCCACGTGCATTTCTTGGGAGCAGTCCTGGTTTGCTTCTGTTGGGAAGGAATGATCACCAAGGCTTCCGTTTTGACCAGTAGAGCCTGTGATCTAGAACCCCCAGGTCAGGTAAGTGCGATGCCCCGGCTCTGCAAGGCGTGGGGTAAAATCCACCCCAGCACCCAGCCTGGAGTCGTCTGGTGCTGCTGACTTGAATCTAGTAAATAACTGTCTACTCAGAAGAAAGCCACACTGAGTTCAGTGGGCCTTACTCCCAGGTAAAGGTGGGTGGGACTATAGTGTTTTATCTAGGCAGCCAGAGCTCCTCTGGATGACAATATCTTTTTGCACTACGTCAGTGAGGACCACTTGCTATTAAAAATGCTCCCATATATATAGAACTCCCTGCCTGCCTTTTGGACTGTATCTGCAGGTTTTCCCCTCTGTGTCAACTAACCGGGGTCAAATAAGTGCTGTTTACTTTTTATAATACATGGAAGACGCATCTTCCTAGGGACGTTCTGGACTCTTCTTCCTTGGAGGTTTCTAAGAAGAGGTTAGATGGCCATCTGTCATGGATGCTTTAGCTGAGTTTTGTACGTTGCAGGGGGCTGCACTAGACTATGACCCTTCCTTCCAGCTCTGTGATTCTATATTTCTATATTTTTCAGCTTCAACAATATTTCATTATGTTCCTATCATTTTATGCAACCGTATTGTGTATAAATTATAAAAATAGTTACCTTTTCTACAAGTAAGAAGGGGGGGGGAACATGGGCATAGCCAGAATTTTTGTTGGGGGGGCAGAACCTCAGACTTGTATTGTTTTTTGTTTATTTTTACTTATTTGGTGGGGCAGCTGCCCACCCCCAGCTATGCCCATGGGGGAAGGAAACAAGGTGGGGAGGGGGCCACGGTCAGAAAAAGGTTGGGAAATGCTGCTTTAATGCATTATTTTTAAAGAGATCACACTACAAGGCGAATAAGGTAAAGGTAAAAGTACCCCTGCCTGTACAGGCCAGTCTTGACAGACTCTGGGGTTGTGCGCCCATCTCACTCAAGAGGCCAGGGGCCAGCGCTGTCCGGAGACACTTCCAGGTCACGTGGCCAGCGTGACAAAGCTGCATCTGGCGAGCCAGCGCAGCACACGGAAACGCCATTTACCTTCCCGCTAGTAAGCGGTCCCTATTTATCTACTTGCACCTGGGGGTGCTTTCGAACTGCTAGGTTGGCAGGCGCTGGGACCGAGCAACGGGAGCGCACCCCGCCGCAGGGATTCGAACCGCCGACCTTTCAATCGGCAAGCCCTAGGCGCTGAGGCTTTTACCCACAGCGCCACCCGCGTCCCTACAAGGCGAATACTTTCCATTAATTGTATTAATTTACCACAAGATGGCAGTGTACAAAACTATGAATGAATACGAATCATAAAACACTGCCAAATCCTCTTGTTATAGTCTGTAAGATCCAAAGATAAATGGTGTGTGTATGTGCTGTTAACTAACTTTCACCATTTCCAATGATACTAAGTTCAGAGAGAAAGAAACCCAAACCAACCAGCCACAACATGCTTACAACAAAACTCCATCCGTTTTCCCTTCAGCGTATATCAATCTGCAGAACTTCACTTTCCAAACAAACCCCAGGTAATTTGTCTTAGTTGTTTCAAATCTAAACATAAATCTTATTTCAGATTTGCTGACTTATGAACCAATACCTTTTCTGTTTTCCAGTGTAAGGAATCTTCATTGAAAATTCAGCTGGAAAACAGTGAGCTGGTTTTCATATAATGTCAAACTACTGGTTTGACAAGACATGAGTAATCTGTGGGCTCATGCACTCCATGCTCACCTTCATTGTTCCAATTTCCCTCCCTGATGTCCAGGTATACAGCTAATCATAATTTGAAGCTATACCCAAACCAGAAAAAAGCTGTGATTTCCCCCTAATCAGAAATTCGGAAAGAATTAGCAGAGAAGGAGCATGCACGCCGACAGGATATTACCAAACTGTTTTGTATGTGAACAGTGCCAAGGGCTATTTATCATAGCCAAAGATGGGGGTTTTATAGACCGAAAGAATTTAAAATTTCTAATTCTTGTCCAGCATGGAGGCAAACATACAGAGAGATTTTGTGTTTCATGTTGTGTGAAAATGAGCTATTAGCGCTTTAAATAAACTCCTTAGTAGAAAATGTATGTTAATGTAAACCACCATGGACTTTGATTAACCTCCTGCAGCATTCTGAATTATGCCCGATAATTCTTTTTCACATGTATGTACCACTGAACCAAGTCACTGCTTGATTTTCATAAGCTGCACTTTACCATCTGTGAGCTTAGCAGGCAAGCAGAGATGTGTTTTACTTATTTGGTTCTGAAAACAAATACAAATATCTGAATAAAATAGCCAATGAGCAGCTTTACTCATTAGTTCTCAAATGATTCTGGGTTTTCGAACTTCTTTAAGAGAATGAAGCAAGTCAGTCAGAGTCTTACCAGATGTCTGCATTTTAGTGTAGCCAAAATGCTATGGGAAACCCAGAAATCCTCTACTCCAGAGATAAGAGGGTTGTAGATATCTCAGCCAGCTAATTTGTTGCCTTCAAGCTGCTGGTAACTATTGCTGCAAATTTTCTAAGATACTCATAACAAATCCAGCCTATGGATTGTATCTGGTACCTCAAGGGTTTTTTGTGGCCCCCTCAAAACTTGGCTTTAAAATATATTAATTTAAAATAGCCTTTCTTTACAATAATTGACTACTCCCACGGGCCCCCTCCCCTGCTGCGATGACTTGATGAAAAGTTTATTGGTGACCCTCAAAAGATTCCACAATATGTGTGTGTCTATAACTGCTTCCCCTTTCCTCACTATGATGCCAAAGCTTTTTCATACCTCCAAGCACACCACAAACTCCCCTTTTAATTTTTCTTAAATTACTGTTTCCGTATGTCTCTCCTGAGACAGTGTGATGCCAAAACGTTTATTTTGCCTCCAAAGCAAAATAATTTCAAAGCAAAAGCAATTTATTCTTTAAAATATTATTTTACAGAATTTAATAACGAACATTGATTAAGAAACAATTGAAAACAGCGCAGAATAATTGACAGGAAAGTACAATGGTACCTCGGGTTAAGTACTTAATTCGTTCCGGAGGTCCGTTCTTAATCTGAAACTGTTCTTAACCTGAAGCACCACTTTAGCTAATGGGGCCTCCCGCTGCCGCCGCATCACAATTTCTGTTCTCATCCTGAAGCAAAGTTCTTAACCCAAGGTACTATTTCTGGGTTAGCGGAGTCTGTAACCTGAAGTGTATGTAACCCGAGGTACCACTGTATTTTGGAAGGAAGTCTTGAGAATCATCTCATCTCACAGGCCTTGTCCACACCTCACATTAAGCCGTGAAAATCTGACCACATATGATGGCATTTCTGCAGGTAGATTATCTCAAAATACCACAAAGTGGCAGGAGAGCTGGGCAACTTGAAGCAGGACGCAAGTTCTGGACTTTTCATCCCCCCTGCTGCTTCCCATTCCAAGAACTTTCAGCTGGACTCCCTAGCTAGAATACGTCTGGCCACAACAATTGGTCAAGACAACTGTTTTGCAAAAACTGTTTTCCAATGCATGGATCTGCCCCAGTAGCATGCAGCTAGCTCCTTTGTGTGTACCTCCTCTGCAACTTGCTGGTATCTCATAATAGACCTATCCATGTATAAAAGGTTCCCTAAAAGATAGGAAAGCTTGAAAAGTACTGATACGTAAGATTATCTAGCTAATAAGATGGTGGATGTAGCAGTCAAGGAAATGCACAGCTTACAAACTCTTATGGACAGCGAACTGAATTCCACCACCTTAGGGTTGCACATCAAAAAAGAAGTGGGAGTTCCTGCACCTCTTTTTCTGGAAGAAAAACAGCACTGCTTACAGACCATAAGCAAATAATTAAATTGTCAACTTACCTCTGCCAACACTACAATTAGGATAAGCTCGATTTTTGATTCTGGGAAAAGTCCATTCACTTGAGGTGACATGCCAATAAGGACACAATTGGTAACCACTGATATGACAGTCATAGTTTGAAAAGCCAACTGAAACAAAAAGAAGAAGAACCAGAATTCCTTTAACAAAAATATGTTTTCTTTTCTCAGGCTCCTGAATAGCCCTGACATTCCTCTTTGTTACATTCAAAAGTGCCAGTAACCAAAAGTTTGGGGCAGGTATCTGCATGAAATCTGCCACTAATAGTCTGGCCCAAACAGCCTAAAGATGGCTTAAAATCACATTCTATGATTCTATGAGTTGTGGCCAACCACATTTGCAGGATCGCAGGTTCCCCACCTCTACCCTTAATTGAATGCCCTGTAGCCTATAAAAGAAACATGTAAATCTGCCTTATCTGCAAGGAAAAAGATACTTCTTTTAAGAACTACAGTGGTGCCTCGCAAAACGAAAAGAATCCATTCCGCGAGTCTCTTCGTCTAGCGGTTTTTTCGTCTTGCGAAGCAACCCTATTAGCGGCTTAGCGCTATTAGCGGCTTAGCGGCTATTAAAGGCTTAGCGGCTTAGAAAAAGGGTGGGAAAGCGAGAAAAAATCGCAAGACTAGCAAGACGTTTCGTCTTGCGAAGCAAGCCCATAGGGAAAATCGCCTTGCGAAGCAACTCAAAAACGGAAAACCCTTTCGTCTAGCGGGTTTTCCGTCTTGCGAGGCATTCGTCTTGTGGGGCACTACTGTATAGGACAGTCTTAAGACACTGTAGCTAAATACTACACTGACAGCTAAATCCCCACACAACATGTCTATTTCTTGGGTCTGTCATTTTGTACCTATGCCTGCTTTTTAACTGAATTCTCAGGTTACTGTAAACTCATGGCATACTTTATAGACTTACCATATTTTTTCGTATATGACTAGGTTTTTCCCCTAAAAAATAATGTCAAAAATTAGGGGGCATCTTATACTCTGGGCCATCTCCCCCCATTTTCTTAAATCTGAGTCCCCCAAAATAGGGGGCGTCTTATACATGGGGGCATCTTATAGACGTAAAAATATGGTATATCCCACTTTTATACCCTTAAAAGAGAGGGAAAATGACTAACTTCTCATGTATTCCAATGGCAAATAGAGAAACAAATAAAGAAATGACGAAGTTATTCAAATATTATGCATCTGAATGGATTACCTGCCATACACCAATATTTGCAGCAGGCTCTGAAAATGGGCGTTTAAAGATCCTGCACATTTTTAAGGCATCAGAATACATCTCTGTGATGTTGTTGAGCACTGCAAAAACAGCTGCCAAAGGGTAGACGCATGAAAAAAGGCTCACATAGCCAAACTGCAAGAACAACTCCAAATAATCATCAAAAGTACCCTGGAAGAAAAGAGAACAATTTAACCATAAATACAAGATTAGAAGCAGCTTTACAGATCCTGGCAGACCTACGTATTTTCCCAATTAGAAATATTAAAGTGGAGAGCGTGGGTGTAAAATAAAAAGCAGGAAGTGTAAGATTGACGTGAGCAGAGTATACATACCAACTACCTGTTTTCATTTCTATTCATTTGAAGATCAATTAATTCATCTTGTGTGGAACATAAGAGATGGTGTACAGCGCTGCTCCATGCCCAACATAAATCACCAGTTAGAATGAAGGTGATGTTTTAATAATCACATCCCCTCTTAAAGAACTGTGCTTGGTATGTGCTTTTGCCCCAACTTTAAATTTACCAAATAAAACCTTACTAATTATTGTCAGGAAATCTACCCCAAAACCCCAAGTACTGGTGTTTCAAATGCGGCCAACACATAGGGAGTAAACAAATTGCTTTTAGGTAGAACAATGCTATTTGTCCACCCAATCTGAGTCAGGAGATTCCAGACATCCTTAAGAGCCCAAGAACCAAAAGCTGAAGTACCACGCTCTGCTTCCGGGGTCTTGTGCAAAAGAAGCCAAATTATACAGTCACAGATGTGACTAAAAGAGTCCAGACAATGGTTTAGAATGACGATGTAGATGTTTTCTAATCACAATTAAAATAGCAGTGTATAATGAAGTCAGCTTATCGCATAGGAAAAATAAGAAAGGAAAATGCTATTAGGAATATAGGACTATCTGGGAAATCACAGAACAGACAAAAAGGCTAATCTGATACATTAACAATGAATCCATGGCCCTATAACACAGGTGACAGTCAGGGAAGCAAAGGAAAAGTGAGGCATCACACGCGGCCTATGGGTAATACTTAATAACCAGCCAATCAGAAGATGTCTAGGCCAAAACTTTCCAGAGCTGAGAGTCTAGGGTGTATGTGTGACTCCACAACTGCAAAATTCTTCCCAATTAAATGAAGTCATCGTCGCTGGCCTTGAAGCCCTGGTACAGACAAGCCAGCACCCAGGTGCAATTAAAGAGAGTGTTAGCAGCCAGCAGAAAGAGAAACTGCTTCCTCATGAGCTCACCTCTTTACCCGGAAGTCTGAGCTCCAGGTAGAACCAACGTTGATGAACAGGGCCGAGTACAAGACCCCCAACCTCTTGACAATTCTTATTATACGAAAACCTAAATCAAAAACTCTTAGAGCTAGTGCAACAGGTGGTCCGGGTGAATGGGATGAGCTTAGAATGGTCTTACTGGGAGCTCCCTTTTTGGAATATGATGTGGATTGCTTCACTTACTTCAAAATGAAGTAAGATGTGGTATGCATTTTATCAGAAGACAGATACAGCCAAACATCGGTTGTCGAACGTAATCCATTCTGGAAAACCATTTGACTTCCAAAACGTTTGACAACCGAGGATCAAAAGGCGGTCAGCAAAGTCAATGGAGAAAAAGGAAAAAAACTCCCCAGAAGCCGTTCCGTTTCTGAAAATCGTTCAAAAACCAGAGCAGTTACTTCCAGGTTTTTGGCCTTCAGGAGCCGAGACGTGCAATAACGGATGCATTTGGGAACCAAGGTTTGACCGTAGATAGATAGATATGGTAAGCCAGCCCTTCTGCTGAGTGAGGCCCTGGACCCTAAAGTCCTGATGGTACCACTATGTCACATGCACTAGGATTTACCTGCTGGGGAAAGATTGGGGGGGTGAACTCAACATAAAGCAACATAAAGCGTCAAGTAATTTTGTTGTCCCCGAGAGGGGGTAATGACAATAAAGATATTATTATTATTATTATTATTATTATTATTATTTATTATTATTATTATTATAGACCACTGGCTTGAACTAGCACAAAAATGTTATTTTCTAACTATTCGGGGGGGCATTTGTTTCCACTGTAAATTCCATTAAGGTTTCAAATATTTGCAATAGTCAAATTTGTTTTGTTTGTTTTTTTAAGCTTCCACTTTTCAGATGCAATGAACCACGGAAGAGGATACAGTCAACTTACCGGATAGGTATCCATCCCTTTTTCCAGATTAACTTGCTCAAGCAAAGTCAGGTCGGTATCTATATCCAAAGCTTTCACCTTTTTCTTCACACTCTTGGTCCGCCTCTTTTGGAGCCAATAAGGCAGCACAGCTTCTACACATTGATTAAGGACTTGGGAAGTTATCAGCAAAGTTGCCAAGCTCTTTAAGGAAATTAAGCAAAGCAAACATGTAACGAGACTGTAGCAGTCCTTTAAAAGGGTATTATATCTGCATTCAATTAACTAATGAGCATGTCCTGTCTAACAAGCACTACAGATCTAAGAATTCCACAATACACTGAACTGAAGCAAAGCAAATTTTTAGGCTGAATCTGAAAAAATAAGGATGGCAGCAATCACTGAAGCAGCTCATTTTGGTAGCAGTTTTCATTCCCACTAGCCCTACTATGTTAACAATTTCATGGTCAGCTGTTTACTAAAGAAAGGACAGACCCAGAAATTTGACTTAAAACTAAATCACACAAAAATATAATTTGCAACCCACTTGAACCAGAGTATCTCAAACATGTGTGAAGAAAGGATGCAGCTCTAAATGCTACTACAAGACTGAAAAGAGTAGAAAAGTCACTACAATGTACGGCAAATAAAGCAAAGAAGCACAGAGCCATATTAAACATGAATAAATTATTTCACATTACAACACAGTAGCCTTAAGTTCGGTCTTAAGGACTACCTATCACAGCACATCAGCTGCAGAGATTCTGGAAGATATTTCCAAGCTTGAAATTATTATCTGAATCAGTCTAATGTAAATTAATAAAAAAAAATTGGAGATATTAAGATAATCAGATAACTGAAACAATGTAAGATCACTCACCTGTCTCAAAAGTTTCATATCAAACATGACAAAAGCAATGTAGAATAACGATGCAAAGCAATTTAAAAAGTTGAACTGCAAAAGAAAAAAAGAAATATATATTCAATTCCATCATCAGTTCAAGATGGGAAAACTAAGGACCATGTGACATAACAATCTCAGGAAGGCCTCTTCCCTCCCCACCATCTGCCATCCTGCGGTGATTCCTCTACAATTGTTATTTTAGAAAATAAACTTCCCAAGGAGAAAATGGGATTGATCTGGTCAAGAGACCTTATGTTGCCAATTAATCTTGAGTAATTTAGTCAAACAGCTATACTCCAGATTATGCACTAAAAGAACACATCTGGCTGATCAGTTCTCCTTATCAATTTTTTAGCATTCATATTGAATATGTCTGGTTTTGTTTTTTAAAACACAGATCTACTGGGCACATACACAGCAAAAATCCACAGATTTTAGGATACCATAGATTTAATCTACCACATACCCGTCTTAACACCCAGGGGATCTCTGGTGTGCCAAGCCTCTGAATCTGGCCCTTGCAATTTGCCCTGGGTTACATGTTCCCTTTCCCACCGCTGAGTGTAATCTCCAATCAACTGCAGTAGGGAAGGAGTTTAAACTTCGGTCCCCATGGTCTTCCCCACACTGCACTGCTCTGGAGCAAGAGGAAAGGAGGAGCTTTCTGCATCTCAACGCTACCTGGAGAGAAACGATCTTCCCTGTCTCACCATGCAGCATGGAAGCCAAGAAAGGGCTCTCTCTTTTCCTCCATTCACAGTCCTTAGCAGCTGGTTCTATGTCTATGGACATAGGCATGTTTGTGTGGGATGTGAGTGGAGGTGTATGTATGTGGATGCATAAGTGGGATTTGTGTGTAGAGCAGTGTTTCCCAACCTTGGGCCTCCAGCTGTTTTTGGACTACAACTCCCATCATCCCTAGCTAGCAAGACCAGTGGTCAGGGATGATGGGAATTGTAGTTCAAAAACAGCTGGAGGCCCAAGGTTGGGAAACACTGGTGTAGAGGATGGGGGGTTGTACATGAGTATCGGGTGCATTCGTGTGAATTAGGGGTGTATGTATGATAGAGAAGTGTGTGTGTTTATAAATACAATCTTCAATTTCCTCAGTCTTGTTCTACACAATCCCCATTCATTTTGATGAAGCTTGTGCAGAATGAGCACACAACTATCCTAAACTAGATCACAGGGATTTCCACTAACAGTCAAGACTGTTATGCAATATCCACGAAATAATGCTTTGTTAGCTCACACCCCTGAGCAAAGCAATCCTTTCCAGAAACAAGCACTCCACCATTTTTGCAAATGAACTTTGATTCTTTCTTTATAGGATACAATATTTTCCTTCATTAAATCCATGTAAACGCCACTGAAATAGTAAGAGTTTACATTTATTCATGCACACATGAAAGTGTGTTTTGCTTGAAACATTGCTAAAAAATATTGGTTTGGAGCCAAAGATCAAACTCTTCATTTCAATGGATCCTGACAAGAGCTATTCCCAAATAATAAGAAGAAAGTATTTCTGACTCTACATACCACCAGGACTTTCAGAACTAAGTGATTCTGGTATGAAGACTCCAATCTATGGTTTTCTGAAATTTAGCCAAAAAAATCGCAATTAACGAAACATACATAAATGCAAAGCACAATAGATGCAAATTATGTTAAGCACAATTGTTATTATTACTATTATTATCATTATCATCATCATTTTCATTATTATATATTCTTTATTGAAAGATAAAAAGCAATGTGTATATAACTAAGTACACAGGGTAAAATATGTGGGATGTAATCCTTGTAGCAGTCAAATACAACATTCCTTGTTTCCCTAGAGTGGACACAAGACAGGGGATGTTGATCCAGGCTGTCGAACTTCCTGTTCCACCTGTCTGGAGCATCCTCCCCCTGCATGTGACCAGGTAGGTGGGCGTGACCCTGGCAGCCCTAACAAAAGGTCCAGTCAGGCAGCCAGCTCTCTCTTTTGGACTCTCTTGCCATCTTTCTCCTCTCAGAGCCACTTGCTTCTCTTGAACTGCACTGCTGGGATGAAGCCACACCTTTCTACTATATGTATCTATAACTACAAGCCAAAGCCTGCCTTCAGGGATCATACTGTGAACTGAATGTAAGTAAACTATTCATTATTTAGAAGGGAGAAGCCTTTGTCTTTGTTCTTTTTAGAAGGGAACAAAAGGGGATTTACCAGGATCAGACGGATTAGATTGCTTAACTAAAGAGATTCAAACAAATCTGCAACTAGCTTCCTGTTGTGTAAAGGGAAATGAGTTCTACTATATGGCTCACTGGCGTGAGTTAGGAAGGATAATATTTAATCAATATATCCTCTCCTACTACCCACTACATTCCCACATCCAGAACCCATTTGTGATGTCGTCTCAGAACCCCAATCCACCTTTGCAGTTGAGGAGCTGTGGATCAGCAGTTTGTCGGTGGCTTGGATAGAATCGGTAAATAGCGGCCCACCCCCCAAAAGGCTTAGATTTTTAAAATCCCCCCTTGCTTGAGAAAGCAAGAAAAGCAGATTGCGCATCAGCAAATTTTGGAGATCAATGGTGGGGAAACTGGTGAGGGGACTGATCTCTCTTGGTAACTGCCAACTGTTAATGGGGCTTTGAGTCCTTGTTTTATTGTGCTGTTTTCATTATGGGTGCCCTGTATTTTAATGTTTGTGTTACTGGTTGGAAAAAGCTGAGAAGCCATTTATAGTAGATGAATTAATAAAAAATAATCATTCTCTTTCTCCCCCCGTTCAAATCCCTTTCTGGAAACATGCCTTGGTTCCATTAGGTACCAATCAGCGTAGACCCATTCAGAGTCATGGATCACAGTTATTCGTGCTCATTCATTTCGATGGGTCTACTCTGATGTCCGATACAAGTCTGTGTCCCAAGTTTTACTTTCCTGGAAAGGAGAGGCAATTTGCACAAATTGCCTCTCTGGTCCACACCTGTCTCTTCCTCACGCTGACACCTTCCCTCTTGTCAGCCTCCTATTGTAGCTTTCAAGTGTAGCAGATGCCACAAATTCTCTCCCCTCTTCTCAGTGCTGCTTACAGGGCTTCTCACTTTTCCTCCACAGTTCCCCAAAATGGATGGCGGCTCGGACAGCTCCCTGAGCGTAGACAATGAAGGTTATGAGAGTGACTCCTTGGGGGACTCTGGAAACCTCTCGGATGTGGTACGTAGCAGACAGAGTGGCCAAAGAGAGCCTTGCAGGGTCAGGGCAGGTTGCAGAGAATTTTGGGAAGTCTCTCCCCTCTTCCCAGTGCTGCTGACAGGTCTTCTTCCTCTGCCTATGAAGTTCCCCCGAAATGGATATTGGTGACTCTGAAGTTGTGTGCAGGAGGACCACAAATGGGAAGAAACCCCTTGCCCCCCAGAGAGACCCTGGCTCAGACAGCCTGCTGAACTTAGACCATGAAGTTTGCTAGAGCAACACATCGTGGGACTCAGGAGACCTCAAAGGAGGTAAGTGGCAGACAGAAGAGGAGGGAAGACCAGGTAGGGATGGCGAAGGACAGCTTTGCAGGATCAGGCCAGGTTGTAGAGGATTCTGGGAGTCTCTCCCCTCTTCCCAGCACTGCTGACAGGGCTTCTCCCTCTTCCTCCACGGTTCCCCGAAATGGATATCGGCGGAGTTCATTTCAGCATTTCTACTGGCTCAACACTTTCTGGGTTTTCTTTGGGGGAATTTTTTTTGCCTCGATTGACAGCGGTTTTCCATTTCACCTCTCGACATGGAGGCGCACTTTGGCTCTACAAAACATCTGCTCAAAAAACAAGAACGAGCAGACTTGTCTCCAAATCATTTTTCTTTACATTTGAACATTTAAAGTTTCAAGACCGGGAGCTGCACACAGGCAAGACATGTCACCAGGGTGACCTGCAGCTGGTAAGTGTTGCTGGTGGAGGGTTTTAATGCCTAGGGAAGCATGGTGACTGACAGTCACCTGTCCAGATAATCAGGCACCCAGGAAAAGAAAGCTAACCTCTCCGGTTTTGATTGGAAACAATGTAAAGGCTGTTTTCCAATTGGAGCGCTCGCAGGCCAGTGTTTCCCAGTTGTCTGTGTTTATACAGTGGTACCTCGGGTTACATATGCTTCAGGTTACATACGCTTCAGGTTACAGACTCCGCTAACCCAGAAATAGAGCTTCAGGTTAAGAACTTTGCTTCAGGATGAGAACAGAAATTGTGCTCCGGTGGCGTGGCAGCAGCAGGAGACCCCATTAGCTAAAGTGAAGCTTCAGGTTAAGAACAGTTTCAGGTTAAGTACAGACCTCCGGAACGAATTACGTACTTAACCCGAGGTACCACTGTACTACATTTTCTTTAGATTTGCCTTGAGAGAGTCTTTAAACCTCTTTTGTTGACCACCGGCATTACGCTTTCCATTTTTAAGTTCGAAATAGATTACAGTGGAGCCTCTACTTAGCACCATAATCCATTCCGGCGGCCCATCCTTTAGGAGGAAAGGGTCACTGGTAGAAGCGCCATTGTGTGCATGTGCAGACGGTGGCAGCCACTTCTGCGCATGTGCAAACAGCAGAAGCCGCTTCTTCGTGTGAGCGAATTGCAGCAAACCCAGTATTTACTTCTGGGTTTTCCGTGGTTGCGACTTGGATCAGGCCCAAGTAGAGGCGGTTGTAAGTAGAGGTTCTACTGTAGTTGCTTTGGAAGACGATAATCTGGCATCTGCACAACACGACCAATCCAACCAAGTTGATGTTGAAGAATCATTGCTTCGGCACTGGTGATCTTTGCTTCTTCCAGTACACTGACATTAGTTCGCCTGTCTTCCCGAGTGATACGTAACATTTTTCAGAGGACACTGTTGATGGAATATTTCGAGGAGTTGGAGATAGCATTTATAACTGATCCATGTTTCACAAGAATACAGTAAGACTGGCAGTACAATAGCTTTGGAAACAAGCATGTTGGTTTCCCGGTCCTCAAACACTCTGCCCTTCAATCGGGAGAAAGCTGCACTCACAGAGCTCAGGCGATGCTGGATTGCTCCTGGCCATGGTCTAGCGATCAGATCTACCTCTGTTTTGCAGTCATGGAAACCCCTATTGTCAGATTGCAGCCCATGAGACTTGAACAAACAGCGTCTTCCTTGCACTTTTGCAAGCATTCAATCAGGGTGTTCTCCCGTGTTAAGCACAATTAAAACATTTTCTTCCTACAAATATAAAACAGCTGCCAGTTTGTCCTTATAAAATGTATTTTAGGAGAGGAGTGTATGGAGCCCTCAGATCACATAGCTCTGGCTTCATTCCACCCCAAAATGAGAGAAAAGGTCGCGTTTTTGTTTTCTATGTTCAGGCCACTAACCCCAACTGGAAAAAAACCCTTCAGTCTCCACTAATTTATACACACACTTGTATTAGGATGGTGGTGGGAATAAGTGTCACTGAACTAAACAGAGCCTACTTTTAAGTAGACAAATATATGATTTCACTGTTAATTGTTTAAAATGTGGCCCACAGATTATTTAAGAATCTGTATTAGTTTTATGTTTCTAAAAGTGGGAGTGGGAGGGGAGGGGATTCTTGAGGGGTCAACATGACTGAACAAAAATGTTATCTATATCACACATCCATAGGCATCTTATCTGGCACAAACAAATTTTTCTAAATTGTTTCTAGTGCAACCTTTTTGCAATAAGCTTCCTTCACAGTGGTAAGTCTTATAGCTCACATAATAAAGAGGTTCTTTCATAACAGCCAAATGATCACCTGATCATTGAATCGATAATATCTTAGAACATGATTCAACAAAAGAGAATAAGAGAGAAATCTTACCCCATGAGGTTAAAAACTCTGCAGCGTATCTATAGATGCGGTTCAGAACTTCAATCACAACAGCATAAATTATGCTGGGCACATATAATATTAAGCTGCTTAATTCCGATTGGTTCTCTTCATGATATAAATGCGCCTGGTATTCCAATTCAAAGTAAACCATCATGACATAAAGTGAGAAGTAGAGGCAAAGGCACACAAATGGTAAGGAGACCAAATAAATTCGTAACTGTCTTTTGAAGCTAGAGTATACCGGCTCCTCTCTCCCCGTCACGGGATTAATGCCTAAAACTCCATGAAACCCTGGCCTGGGCTCCTCAAACTGTCGCTTCATCACAAGTGTCCCCCACCTGTAGGCCATGAGAGCACAACACCGCTTCCAGAGTTCAAGGAGAATAGCAGACCAAACCAGGTTGAATCCTGCAAACAGCACATACTTGTCATAATCTTCCCAATCAAAGATATAGTAAGGAATCCCAATGATAGCCATTGGAACCAAAGCAAATGTGATGTACTCCAAAAAGGCAAAATAGAAAGCAATGGTTTCGCCAAAATAGCAGCGAATGTCATCTGTGGGAAAACAAAGAGAGTAAATGTAAGTATCATACACACAAAATTTGGCAGCCTTACATTAGCTGTTGGGCATTTTTAAAAAATAAAAAGGGTTACAGTGGTACCTTGATTCTCAGACTTAATCTGTTCTAGGAGTCCATTCGACTCCTGAAACCATTCCAAAACCAAGGCGCGGCTTCCAATTGGCTGCAGGAGCTTCCTGCACTCAAGCGGTAGCTGCGGAAGCCACGTCAGACATTCGGCTTCTGAAAAACATTCGCAAACCGGAACACTTACTTCCAGGTTTGCGGCGTTCAGGAACCAATTAGTTCAGGAGCCAAGCCATTCGGGAACCAAGGTACCACTGTATTACATTCTGAAGCATCAAGTGCCTTATGTAGTATATGGAGTACTTAATAATTTGTACCTCATTTTCCTCAAAAATAGAGCAATACCGAATTTTAAGCTGTTGCTTTGCAAGCACAGTGATGAGTGTAAATTAGGACCACTTCCCAAAATCATCTGGCTCACCACATGAATCAGGCTCTGCTAGGCAGTTTTCTCCAGGCCATTTCCAACTGCTGAAAGGATGTATTTCCACACCTGATCCATGTGGCAAGTAACTGCACATTTATCTAGTTGTATGCAACTGCTCCCAGGTGCAGACAATTTCAGGCAGTCTCCCATTGCTCAGTAATTTTAAAAAGCACACATAAATCATGTGAGCTACAATTCTAACTCCACTTTCCTAGGCATAAGCTGACTGTTGAATTGAGTCAGATGTACTTTTGACTATACTTGGTTGGGATTCCATTGTTAGTCTGTCAATGTGAAATGCCCATTTATATTAGCTCAAGCTCAGGATAAGACAAACTAAATCCCATGACAGAGCAGAGTAATAACCATACAGATCAGAGGGAAATGGTTGGTGGTTTGTTTTTTGGTTTTTTTCATGGGGATGGATGCTCTTTAAAGGTTGCAGTGGGGAGAAGGGAATTAGTTGTTTAGTTTCCTAATGGATGTTTTCCTACGGTGAAAGGTGTGGGTTACGAAGTGCAATTATCAGCATTTTCTTTGCTAGAGTCATTTGATCATGTTGTTTCAGAGCGACAGTTTGACTAAAAGCAAGAGTAGGTGGATTGGGGTAACACAGAGAGCAAAATCTAATGTGAATAGCTGAAGTGAAGAGAGCAAGTCTGAAGTGACTTATTTAAAATACGGGTAAAATCTGAGGCAGTATCACTAGTTTGCTGTTTTAGATTCAGTGACACTAAATAGACAAGTCCCTGGTCCTTTTACCTCTTCCATGTGTATAAAGGTACTGAAATATTTATGTTTATAAATTATGGTAGCTACTGCAGAAAAATCAAAATTTGCAGGAGAACATGAGCTGCCTCCTTCAGGTGGCTGCACCACTCCTTTTCTGTGAGTTTTTTAGTGTGTGTGATTGTCTACTCTTGAACTTCCAGTGGCATCAGAAGAACACTTTTCTGCCAATTAAATGTATAGCTTCAAAAGCAGTTGAACGCGTTGGTCACTCCACAAAGGGCTCAAACCCAATGGTGCTAGCACATTTTTAATACTTGTAAGTTTGAAATGGGTCAAATGGGACTGCTAATTTAAAGCACTCCATTAGTATTAATGTCTCTAGTCTTAAGTGTGTATCTTAGTGCTTTGTATATGAGCCTCTATTTTACTTTGACTTTTTCCTGTGAAATTTGCTCTTGCGTAGAATAAGGATAGGAAAAGTATTAATGTCTGTTAGTTTGGGGAGAGTTGTTCCAGCTTTTAGAAGGTTAAGCGCTGAATGCACTTTTTTGCCGATCCTCCAATAAGACTTAACAGTGTAGTTTGTGACACTCCTTGTCAACCATAATAAGCTGAGTTAGGCTGAACTTATTTTCCCACTTACCTGGGAGTAAACTCCATTGAACATGGAATAACTTAATTCCACGTAAACATGCATAAGATTGTATTGTGTGAGAGCTGGCTGTTGGGAAAATAATACCGAGCCATCCTTCAAAAATATGGCATATTAACTCATCACCTTATGTTTCCTTCTGTTGCGTTTTGGCATGTGCTTGTCTTTGCAGCTGACAAATTCTTATGAAACAATGGTTTCCCCCAGTCAGCTTAATGTAGAAGCAGTTCTGGCTTTTGCCAGTACAGTTGGGTCCTTCTAACTGTTTGTCTGATTTTAAGCACTCCAGTTATTTGTGGAACAATGTGAAAGTTTGCACTACTGAGCTTTCTTTGTGCTCCAAGGGTAGCCACTTCAGGAAGTCCAGACATAAAAGCTTTTGGAACAGAGTAAGAATCCAGTACATTGTGACAAAGCCCTGGTGTTTTAAACCACGGTTAAAAATAAACTCTGGCTTAATGCGAACAAGGACTGTGCTGTTTCACTTGGGGAGCTCCTGCGGTGCTGCAGGGGAGGCAAGTTTGTCATGGTGTCTAAACCTGGGCTGGTGGTCTGTTTCTCTCTAAACAAAGGGAATTTTCCTCCAGGACAGATTGGCTAGTGTCCTTTGGTTTTGCTTCCTGGTCCCCTTCAACACGTGACCTAACTTACTTTTCTGTACCTTCGCAGACTATTTGTTGGTGAACTTTCTCAGTCTGTTTGTTGCTTACTCAGTTTTGGTATGCTGTGGTCTTGAATCTGTATCTCACATCAAAGATTGATGTACATAGCCTTATAAGTAATGAGGCCCCAATAAAATCGCACAGTTCATACCAGAAGAAGGCAAGATTGTAAGGCTATCTTACCTAAAGGCTGGTAGCTAATTTTCAATTTTTTGTACCAGGTATGTCCAAGTTTCTTTAGTTCTTCTGGGTCATGAAGTGGAAAAATCTGAAGTAGAATACCATTGGATATTAGCCTTCGCACTGAAAGAAAAAAAGAAATGAGGGACAGTGTCTTAATTCTGGAATGGTCTATGTAGCACAATAAATACGCTTCATCTGATTTCTTATCCAGACCACACTAAATGATTCTCTGAATAAGATTTTTCAATCTATATTTTTTATTATAGTTTTTAGTCCTGGTATCATATTCCCATACAGAGCCAGATGGGCAGGGTATAAATAAAACAACAACAAAACAACAACAACAGTTACATAGGTTATACAATACAGTGGTACCTTGGAAGTTGAACAGAATCCATTCCAGAAGTCTGCTCAACTTCCAAAATGTTCGGAAACCAAGGCGCGGCTTCCCATTGGCTGCAGGAAGCTCCTGCAGCCAATCAGAAGCCATGGAAGCCACGTCAGACATTCGGGTTCCAAAGAACGTTCAGTTCCAGGTTTGCAGCGTTTGGGAGTCAAACGTTTGACTTGCAAGGCGTACAGGATCCAAGGTACGACTGTATAGAGTTTTTGGCAACTTTTACCAAAAAAAATGTTCCAAAAAGCCTATGCAGGCATGTAATTTGATATTAAAACCACTTAAGTATCAGACTTACTTTTTCCAAGGCAGATCCATGAGCTCAATTCTAAATTTCTATCAAATCATGTTCACAGATCTAAGCTCTAGAAACATTACATAATAATGGAATTTGATTTGGATACAATATTCCTACATGTCTGCACTTTTACAAGTGCCAAATATTATGAAATAGGCTTTTTGCCTATAGATATACATATAGAGTGATGGGAGCAAGCAGCTCCTAAGTGCCAAATAAATCAAACCTAAAACCTACCTGCTGCAGAAGGACCAGTCAAAATATGTTAAGGAAGTTAAGCTGCTAGGCATGTCTAGACTTCTTTTAGGCTGTTCCATCAAATAGGAATTAGTTCTATAAAATCAATGTAAGCAGAAGCTGTGGCAAAGTGCACACGCCAACTTGCAATATCTAACAAAAATTATGGTTTCACATCCATTTTTCCCCAATATCAGAGCTTATGCAATTAACAACTTCAATGCAAAGTTACTCACTAATTGACTTTCCCGGATAAAGCTTTGCCTGAGGATAACCTGGGATCATTTTTTCATCTTTGGCTCTCAGGTTTTCAAGTTCATGTTTGATGATGTACTGACACTCTGCCATTGTAAGGAAATCATGATTGTCCTCTAAATCAGAAAAGAGTTGATATGGTTGAACATGTGTTCTCTTATCTTGCAAAATTCCTAGAGGAAGCAATTATCTGGGAGGCACAGTATGTCACCAAAGCAAGAGGTCTCTTAAGGAAATAACGAACCAAGACATGAAAATGCAATCCTATAAATGTCAAATTAGAAGAAAAGTTCATAGAGTTCAATGAAACTTACTCTCAAAGAAGTTTGTATTACGGTGTCAAACCTCCAGCCCCCTACAATGGATAGTGACTTGTTCAGATCCATTTATTAAAAAACACTGGAATCTACTTTTTTAAAAAGTTGCTTAATAGTCAAATTTTAAAATTCAACAGGTTTTATAGTAATGACATGAAAATTAAGCTAACCAATTTCCACATAATGTAGAAAAGCATGATCACATTTCAACTCAGAAATGCATATATTTTCATGACTGAGAGGTGAAAGTTCAATGTTCAGTTTAAATGGTTTTTATGCCCTAAAAAGCAAAAACATGCAATTATGTCAGAAACAATTCTAAAAACAGTTTGATTTACCTGCAAAATCTTTGAAGGTTTTTCTAGCGGTATATGTAAAGGCTCTCATTGTGTTATCATTACATTCTTTCACCAACCCCACTGTTTCAGCTCCCAGAAGCAGCCTCAGGTGAGATGCTCCAACAAGATAAATATTCTGGTTCCCTTCTATTTTCTTCCCATCTGCCATCAAGGGTTTCACCAAAAGCTGGGCTCCTTCAAAATAAGGCAAGAAATTAAATAGAATGTAATTTTAATATAAGATATTTTAAATACCTAATGAATTGGACTCATGCATTGCTCAGGCCGAGTTTAAGAGGAACAGCATCTAAAGCAGTGTTTCCCAACCTTTTTTGGGCAAAGGCACACTTGTTTCATGAAAAAAATCTTGAGGCACACCACCATGCCAGATGGGGAAAGGTCACTTTTTACTTATGTAAAAAAAAAAAAAAAATAGTAACAGCATAGAAGGTAATGGTTAGGCTAGCATCCCTCTTCCAAATATGCTAGGTTTTTATTTGCAGGGACTGTTCTACATGGGAAAGCATTCAGTACTGTCATTCTCCCATCTGCCATCTGAATTGGTACTATTCTGGGTCAACTTACTCTGCTGCATGTGTAGATGAAAATGGCACCAAGTGTGGGGGAGGGGGCAGAACAGGTTTCAGATACAGGATATTAAGCATACACGTACTTCAGATTGAACTGGTTGCTTGCTTTGCAAGTTTTCATTTCCCAAATGACTGCCTTGGCAAGCGCAATACCTACCAGGCTCAACGCCGGTCTCGCGCTGCCGCTTCCCGCGCTCTCAAGGACCCGGGAGGAGGAAGGCGTGAAGGGAATCCCGAAGGCGCGAAAACCTCGCGCATGCGCAGGCCTTCCGCCTGCGACAGCCCAGTAGGCCGGCCGAAGCGAGCAGCGATGGGATGTGGGAGCTCGCTCGCTCGCCGCCCCGCGTGTGCCTATGTGTGGCACGTTACAGCCCCGTGACGTCAGCGCCACGCAGGCAGCCAGGCAGGCAGACGGCGAGAGCCCCGCGCTGGGCGGCCTCTCCTCGCCGCCGCCGCCCCGCCTCTCGCCGCCCAACTCGCCCGCCTCCCTCCAGGCAACATCTCGCGGCACACCAGGCAACGTCTCGCGGCACACTAGTGTGCCGCGGAACACCGGTTGGGAAACACTGATCTAAAGGGTTATATAAAAATGATTCCTTATCTATAGAAAAAGTTTGGGTTATCAAGATAATAAAACAGAACATTCAGTAGTAAGGACATACTTAAATATCCAACCATCAAATCATTAAGATTTGAAAATACTTAAGTTTGGCTGGATTGTGGCCAGAGTTAGATAGATTTAAAAGGCAAGTGGAGCACAAGCCTCTACTTGTGAGCAACAACTAAGGAACAAGTACACACCTTGCATTTAAGAATCTCAATGCTGCTTATTGTTTGTGTGTGTTTTAAGAAAAGCCACTTAAGTGCAAAGAGGTGGAGGGAACATTCTTTCATATGTGGTGGACTTGTAAAAGGGTAAAAGAGTATTGGGAAATGATCCATAATGCAATCCCCTCCAGAACAGGCTGAACACCACTCAAGCAGCTGAATGAGTCATCCATTAAAAATACCTCTATCTTTTCTAATCTAAGGGCAGCAACACGGAACAGCTAATCCATTTCTTGCTGTTCTGGATTTAGGTTCCATGTGATTAGGAAGTATGCTGGCACATTTTATGAGTTACTAGAACTCCATTGAATTGTATTAATTGCTTTGCTGAAACCGTTGCTGTTGTTTGCTTTATTTATATGCTGTGTTTGGTACGATAGTTGCAGCATTTGTTGTTGCTTTAATGCTTTTGTGAGTTGCTTTCAGCTCAACATTTGTTGTTGGGAAAGCAAAAGACAAATCTTAAATCAAATCAAAACCTCCAGGCTGTCACTATTTTTCAGGAGGGAGACCAGAATTTAAAGTGGATTTAAAGTGTTCTATTTCCCATGTGCAACAAATCCACTGAAAAACAGCAGATGAATGCTCAATAAAGACTGTATACAATCTAACCCCTCCATAACTTTTGTACAAGCAAATCCTAATGAATTCTCAATAAATAGACCCTCTTGAGCTGCAGGGTTTATTGGTCCTCATCCAATATATTAGAACGGCCAAGCACTACTCTTGGGAGGAGACTCTTGAGAGTCCCATGGACTGCTAGAAGAACAAACCTCTCCATTCTTAAGGAAATCAGCACTGAGTGCTCACTGGAAGGACAGATCGTGAAGCTGAGGCTCCAATACTGTGGCCACCTCATGAGAAGAGAACACTCCCTGGAAAAGAACCTGATGTTGGGAAAGATGGAGGGCACAAGGAGAAGGGGACGACAGAGGATGAGATGGTTAGACAGTGTCCTCGAAGCTACCAGCATGAATCTGACCGAACTGCGGGAGGCAGTGGAAGACAGAAGTGCCTGGCGTGCTCTGGTCCATAGGGTCATGAAGAGTCGGACACAACTAAATGACTAAACAACAACAACACCTCTCCTGGATTTGATAAAAAGGAGAGACAGAGCGGAGTGTCAACTGCAGATTGGCAACATCTTAGTTGAAATATTTAGGTGTCCTTGCCCAGTGCTTTCATGTAGATGACAAATAGCACTGGCGAATAAAACCCTCAACAGCGTCCAAATTGGCCATCCTAACGTACTTCCAAAATCCAACTCAGGCAGCCTATCCAGAAGGATGCTACAGTCAATGAGATAAAAAGCAGCTGAAGAGAATGAACAGTGTCTTTATTTTGGCAGTCTCAGTTGTAAAATCAAAAACCCAACTGAAATGGACCTAGACATACCATTTCATCTAAGAGCATCTGGAGTTGACTTAGCACATAAGACTTGTAGCTTTGTAAATGAATGCTTACATGAAAACAACCTTTAGAAACAGATGATTTCATGTAAATGTGGGTGGCAGCCTTGCTAATTAGGCTTGCACATATTAAAGGAGACTTAAAGAAAATGTTCACCACACAATTTCAGCAAAAAAGGAGTTTATTTGTCAATCAGTTGAATATGAAGTATCAAGATAATATTCAACCATGCAACTTTCATCTATATAAATAAAATCTCAGAATAAGATCCTTTTTTATTAAGAAATATTTAAATAAACTATATATAATACATTATCTAGTTTTGCTCATTTAAAATGTATTTGTATAATTGTATTTTCATACTTTAAGAAACAGAGATTTCCGTAAAAGTAAAGAGTACCAACCTCCATTTTTCTTCTTTTCTATTATCTTTTGTGTCAGCCATTCTTTCGTTTCATCTTTGGTGTCTTTTGCAAGCTCAACTACCACAAGTGGTTTGAAATTCGCCTCAAATGTGTCATACGCTGACCAGCTTATCTTCATCTTTTGGATAACTGGCTTACCAAATGAAGGAAAAAAGAATAAAATAGTTGAGTGCTGCAGAAGAAATGAACATTCAAGGGTATACAATTTACTGTAAATCAACAACTGGGTAGAACTATCTCCTACTTTTCTTTTGCTTCCCCCCTCCCCTCTCCCCCAGTTTTTTGCTTTGGTAAAAGCAACATTTCACCTTCAGCCTTGAAGAAAGGATATTCCAGTATTTCTACATAGCTTGTTAGACTACAATTATAGACACGTGGTTGACAAAGTTCAGCTGTAAAGACTGTATTAGAAAAACCCCAATATATATAATTTTCTATCAAATATGGCAAGCTGTCTGATCAAATCAAATGAAAATGTTGAATTGAAAAGTTACAGTTTAAGTTATTTAATAGTGCATTTTGCTCCCTAGATTTCATTTAGTGAAATTAAAAAGTATAGCTTCCTAAATGTACTATGAAATCTTAACTGTGTCTACTCTGAAGTAAGTCCCATTGAATTGTAGTTGTAGTCATGGAACACAATCCCATATTAATGGCAAATTAATTTGTTTGTAAACCCCCCTATTTTCAATATGGGCTTATGCCCAGGGGTTGCAATTTAAAGCAGCATAGCAAAGGATTGCACAGCTACAAAGTTAACACATTTACCCAATTCCGAAAATAGATAGGAATATCCTTTGTACACTGCAAATCTTTAATGTTTCTCAATTCAAACTTTGGCCAAGATAACTGTGCTGCTGTTAGCACTTTACATCATCAGCATTAATGGCTAGGCCATAAGTGAATCTTTTGTTATCCTCTCTCCCTTGGTTAAGCATAACAGAGATAGACTCTGTCTAAATCAAATTAATATACAGTGGTACCTCGGGTTAAGAACTTAATTCGTTCTGCAGGTCCGTTCTTAACCTGAAACTGATCTTAACCTGAAGCACCACTTTAGCTAATGGGGTCTCCTGCTGCTGCCACACGGCCGGAGCACAATTTCTGTTCTCATCCTGAAGCAAGTTCTTAACCTGAGGTACTATTTCTGGGTTAGCGGAGTCTGTAACCTGAAGTGTCTATAACCTGAGGTACCACTGTACTATTAGGTAACATTTCGAAAGACTTTTTTTTCTTTTGCTTATATAGACATGCAATATATATTTATGGTAATAACATTATTTAAATTTGATTGTAAGAGCTTGTATTAGCAATACTATAACAATGGATGGAGACTCTCTAGCCAGCTTCCCTCAGGATATATTAATACTACTGTATGATCAGAAATCATATGATCGTAAAACTAGGGAACGCTTCTCAAATTATTTAGGAACAACCTGTTGATAATTCCAGTTACCAAATTAGGATGCTGTGTGATTTATACTCATGTCAAACAAGATTGAGCCACTCCTTGATGCTTCAAATGACTTAGTTAGATTTGCAAATAATACAAGTCTCGTGTCTTGACAAGTTACCATTTTTCTCCTACGTGAGCATTCATTTGCATGGGTAAGTTCAGATAAGCAACGAAGGAGGTGGCGTCACCACCTAAGTGCTATGTTGACAGCAGTTTAAATGTTTGGACACAGAGTCAAGTACACAGTTACAACTAGAGAACAAGGATTCCAGGGAGATTTAAGTTCTATCTACAACTTCTATATACAGAAACGCATCACTAGGGGTTCAGAAAACACTGCTTTTATCATGATTTAAGGCTGTGCCAATTTAAAAGAGGCCGATTGTCATCTTCAAAGTAAGGCGGCTGATTTTGGGCGCCGTGAAAGCAGATTATTTAATATACTATTGTTATCCTTTAATCCTAGGAAGAATTTGTTTGATTGTTTCTTTGTTTTCATGAAATTTATACACTGCTTGTTTGCAAAAAAAAAAAAACCACAAAAGCACAAAACAAAATTGTTTTTATACTTGATGTTAGCCACCCTGAGCCCAGTCTTGACCAGGGAGGGCGGGGTATAAATAAAATTAAATAAATAAATAAAATAAACAAAAATACCCCAAAGATAAAAAATCTTATAAATCTTATTAAAAAATCTTATAAAGAGATAAAACAAAATCAAGAAAAAATTACTATAAAACATACAAAAGTTCAAATACTAAAATAGATTAAAATTACCTCAACTTCCTAAGCATCTGGGTAGGCTTATCAAAACAATAATGTTCTTAGCGGGCGCCCCAAAAAAGTACAGTTAAGTGAGCTTTTCTGCCTCAGGCATCAAAAATACCTTGCAGGCCTTGAGTATTATGCGCCATAAGGGGAGCTAGGGAGCAGTCAGCTGCTCCAAATCAGGCAGAAAAATGTACTGAGCCACACCTCACCCTTCCCATACATAGAAAAAAATCTCCCTATTTGAGTTGAGTTGCAGAAGCTGTTGCATGATCTTACTATCATATATGGATAAATTGGTCCCTGAAATGGGAACAGATAATTAGCCAGTGTATACTTCCCAGTGTGTACACTGCCGGGGCAGAAAAATGCAAGTGTATACAGCTATCAGACTCCACCAAGGAGGCACGGGCAAACTGACGGATGTACCTCTCAGATATACATGTGGTTGAAAGCAGTTTATCCAGGGCATTCATATGATGCATTTACAGTCATACCTTGGGATAAATACGCTTCAGGTTGAGCGCTTTCAGGTTGCACTCTGTGGCGACCTGGAAGTAACGGAGCACGTTACTTCCGGGTTTTGCCGCTTGCGCATGCGCAGACGGTCAAAATGACGTCACACGCATGCGCGGAAGCGGCGAAGCGCAACACGCGCACACAGATGAGTTGTTGCACCTTACGTTCTTTTCAGGATGCGAACGGGGCTCCGGAACGGATCCCATTCGCATCCCGAGGTACCACTGTAGATGTATACCTCAAGGTGCCATTGAGACAAAAGGCGCTTCCAGATGTACACTTATTCCAGATGTATGATTATTGTAGAATCAGCATGCAATTATTATTTTGCAGCATCTACATAACATTAAAGGTAAAGGGACCCCGACCATTAGATCCAGTCACGGACGACTTTGGGGTTGCAGCGCTCATCTCACTTTATTGGCCAAGGGAGCCGGCGTACAGCTTCCAGGTCATGTGGTCAGCATGACTATGCCACTTCTGGCGAACCAGAGCAGCGCATGGAAATGCCGTTTACCTTCCCGCCGGAGCGGTACCTATTTATCTACTTGCACTTTGACGTGCTTTCGAACTGCTAGATTGGCAGGAGCAGGGACCGAGCAACAGGAGCTCACCCCGTCACAGGGATTCGAACCGCCGACCTTCTTATCGGCAAATCCTAGGCTCTGTGGTTTAACCCATAGCGCCACCCGCGTCCCTCCTACATAACATTACTGCCATCAAAATGCTAGTCTCCCCCCTGCCCCAATTCAATCGGGATCTACCCTTTCTGGAGGAAATCCAGTAAGTTTTCATATGTGTGCGCCAATTTTCCATTTGCATCATCTCAACGACTCATTTACAAGTGGCGGAGCACGCTCTTTGTGACAATGGCCCCCCGCCATGGCCTTTTCAAGTCTATAAAATAATTTTTTGGCCAATACTGTAGAGATAATTCTACGTGGCTTCAAAAGTCATGATCTCTCTCTCCTCCTCCCACTACTACTTTGCTTCATAATCAGTTTGATCTTCCTCGGAGTTTGGCTTGGCTATTAAAAAAAAATTGTGGTGTGTGTGTGTGATTTTTCATTATAAAAGTTGCAGTGCTGACATGCCAAGTCTCTCCCTCTGCAGTTAGTTGACTTCTCTCTCGAAATAAGCTGATTCATTTGACAGGACTGCCCTGAAATTCCCCCTCGCTCCGCTACAAAAACCATGGCTGGGTGGGTGGGTGAGAGAGAGAGCATCAAGTAAATAAATGAAAATACTTAACTAAAAGTAGGGATTTTGACAAGGGTGTGGTTTTTTTCCTGAGCGCGTGGGGATGCCAGTTTACTTTCGATTAAAGAAAGCCCTGCCTGGAGCAGGATTTGGGGTGACGCCCCGAGAACCCGAACGTCGGGAAACGGGCGAACTTCTCAAGGCGCTAGTCCTTGTGGAGGAAGCGCCCGTTAGGGATTTAGCTGGGAAACGGGGGGAAATAAAACACCTCAACCCAAGAGCAGCCGCTCTTTTCACGGGGTCGGAAAGGGAGTCGCTCCGGGGAGCCTCTCAGACGCGGCTACCCGGCTTGCCATCCCCTCATGGCTCTCGGGCAGGGAGAGCAGGCGAGAGGCGAGGACGGGTGGGGCTGGGCGGCGCCAAATACGGGTGTGCGCTCGTGTAAACGGGGCGAAAAGGAGGGGGAGACCCCCGTCATCTTCCTGACACAAATTTTATTTAATTTTATTTCCCCTCCCCTTAAATGTTTATTCTAACCCTCCACATAACTCCCCGGCCGCGGGTTTTTAACGGCTTCGGGGTCGCAGACCCCTCCTGCCTCTCCTCCCCCTCGCTCGGAGGGGAACTGAAAGAGAAAAGGGGCTCCCGTCCCCTTTAGCCCGGCCCCGGCCGCCCTCACACATTCACTCACCCGCGGCCTCTTCTCTCCGCGAAGGAGGAGACAGGCGGGGACAGCCGCCAACGGGAGGAGCCGATCAGGCCACGAGGACGGGGCGGCGTGTCACTGGGCCCGCCCCCAACTCCGGGTCTAGTTGCGAGAGCGCAGGATTCCTCCGAAGGGGTTCTTCCGCCGTTGGTCCCTTCGGACTTTTTTATTTATTTCTTCTTCTTTTTAATTATTTATTTGGTTTTCCAATTTACAGTTTTACAATCACATATACAACATAAAGACAAGATTCCGTAGAATCTCCTGGACTTGCCTCCTCCACTTTGTGGATCTTCTTATTAATCATTTCCTCCTGCATCTTTTATAATAATCCAAATCTTTTACATCTCCATTATGTCCAAAATTCGCCATTAAGCTACAAGTGCTATTCCAATCCAATGCTTTTCAATGTGTATTATTTTGTTTTATGTACTGTGGCTTGCCATTGTTTTATTGGTTATAGTTTAGATATTATTTATTGTAACTGGTGAGTGGATTTCAGTTTAACTTTTGTATGCTGATATTATTTTATACTTTTTTGTTACTTTTTTGATGTAGGTTGCCTATTTTAAAGTTATGTTTTATTATCACATTTTTTATTACATTAGATTGTTACAAGATGTACATTTTTTGTTTCTTCAGCTTGTAAACCGCCTTGAGTATTGTAAGATATAAATACAGTATATACAAATTAAAAATGATGATGATGATAACAATTTCAACTGTTTACAATGGTTTTTTAAAATAAATTGTAAAATTTCCCCATTCTTTATTTAAAATTTTCTGATTCTTTCGATTTCTGTTGTTTTTTCTTTCTTCTTGTCTTCCTTGTGGGTTTTTGCAGGGAAGGTGTCTTGGATCTTGGGACTGGGAGCGAGGGGTGGGGACCAGGGATGAATAAAATATAGGGCGGCAGGCCCCACCCCACATAATTAATCACATGACACAAAACACACTTTTTTTTTGAATGCCCATCAACTTTTGGGGCAGGGGCTCAAATACTTTATTGGGGGGAGAGCAAAGAGAACTCAGCCCCTAGGAGTTGACTCCTATGGTGGGGACACACACAGGCCTTATTGTTGCAGAATTCAAAAGTTCTGAGTTCACGCAGTTTTGGAGCCCTTTCTAAAAGTAGTATGGGAGGAAAAATATTTTCCGTGATCCCCAAGGCACCTGGCACCCCTCTAGGTGGGGGTCTACCTGGGGGAGTGTTCATAGGTAGGGGGCACTGCAGGTGTAAATGACTATAGGGCATTGGGAAGCTGGTTATCACTGGAACAAATGCCATCGCTTTGGTTGACTCAGCAGTCTTGAGTGGATTTTGAATAAATTTGCAAAGAATGGTTCCTATGTACTTTGAATTTTATGTGGGTTAAACCACAGAGCCTAGGACTTGCCGATCAGAAGGTCGGCGGTTCGAATCCCCGCGACGGGGTGAGCTCCCGTTGCTCGGTTCCTGCTCCTGCCAACCTAGCAGTTCGAAAGCACGTCAAAGTGCTAGTAGATAAATAGGTACCGCTCCGGCGGGAAGGTAAACAGTGTTTCCGTGCGCTGCTCTGGTTTGCCAGAAGTGGCGTAGTCGTGCTGGCCACATGACCCGGAAGCTGTACGCTGGCTCCCTCGGCCAATAAAGCGAGATGAGCGCCAGAACCCCAGAGTCGGTCACGACTGGACCTAATGGTCAGGGGTCCCTTTACCTTTACCTTTATCTTCCTCATTAAGTTGTGCAAACTGCTGTGCTGAATAATGCTTTTGGGCCGGCCCACCCATGAGGCATGATGAGGTGACCGCTTCAGGCAGTTAAGATGCATAGCACAACAGATCCAATTGCCTGCAGCAACAGATCTCAGTGGCTGCCATTTCCTTTTTTTCCCTTTTCTTTTTTTCTTTTTTTTTATTTTTTGCAAAATTGTTAAGCTTATTTTGAAATTTTTACCTTTTTTAGGATCTTGGCCAGGAGTTGTATTTTCACTTCATATCCCAAATAAACGAAATCCTATCATTTATTACATAGTCCACCCAGGCCTTGGGAATAATATAATTAGGAATGATATTATTATTATTATTATTATTATTATTATTATTATTATTACATACATACATACTCTGCCCATCTGGCTGGGTTTCCCCAGCCACTCTGGGCAGCTCCCAACAGAATATTAATAATGATGATAATATTAATGATAAAGCGATAAAACATTAAAAACTTCCCTAAACATGAGCCCTTAGTCATAAGCCAAAAAATTGTGTGGTCTAATCAGCTAGCTATTGTCAATTAAATACAATAACAACACCATGATATTCTAAATAGAATAGGCTGTAGCCAATATTAGTCCTAAGAATAGACTAATTGAAATCGATAGGCTCAGAATACACCCATTGAAATTGATGGACATGCGTAATTAGGTACTTTAATTTCAGTGGATCTACTCTGATAAGATACAATGGGAAATAGGTGCCCATGGAAATCTCTGAGATGTACCTTCCTAATTAATGTGCTGAGGGTGCCACATTATGAAACATCTTTCTCTAATAAATGCAAAATGGCCGAGAGTTTGATTTATGCTTTTAAAATGATGTAAACGAGATGAGACACTATTTGTTGTTGCCTCCTTAGGGGATGGTTGTGTTGCAATTCCCTGGATAGCACAAGCTGCCTGTGGGGTAATAAAAAAGGACGAAGGCGTGTGCACAGTTCAGGTTGATAAATATTGCCCACAAGAATATTCTTGCTGGGTTGGGCCTTTTTCACAATGGAGATCCTCAGAATTTAACATAGCTGAGTATTGGCTAATGGGTTGTAAAGTACTCTCTCTGCCACCCTTGCAGATGATGTGGGGTGTTGCACAACTGCATTTTGGATGGAAGGAACTAGGCAATAGTTCCGTATCACAAAAACATGTTGCTAAAGACCAACATTTATACTCAACACTGACATAGGGAGAGGCAGTCCTTGAGATATTGCAATCCTGAGCAGTTAAGGCTTTATACAGGAGGTTTCCCTCTCTGTGTCAAATAGCTGGGGTCAAATAAGTGTTGTTTACTTTCTATAATACAGTGGTGCCTCGCAAGACAAAATTAATTTGTTCCACGAGTTTTGTCACCTTTCCGGTGTCGGAAAAGTTTTGGAAAAGCTTCAAAAATCACCAAAGTCTTCAAAAACCTCAAAAAAGGCTACCACACCGCGTGCTATGAGTTGCTCCTCGAAGTCAAGTCGCAACTGTATTAACGGTGTTAAGAAAAAGGAAACAAACTTGCAAAACGTTTCCGTCTTGCGAAGCAAGCCCATAGGGAAAATCGTCTTGCGAAGCAGCTCAAAAAACAAAAAACCCTTTCGTCTTGCGAGTTTTCCGTCTTGCAAGGCATTCGTCTTGCGAGGTACCACTGTACATGGAAGATGGATCTCCCTCAGGACGTTCGGGACTTGGAGGTTTCTAAGAAGAGGTTGGATGGCCATCTGTCATGAATGCTTTAGAGTTTCTTACATTGCAAGGGGTTTCACTAGAAAGATGACTCTTGGGTTGCCTTCCAGCTCCATTATTCTGTTTTTCTCCTTTCTGTTCCTATCATTTTATGTAATTGTATTTTGGATAAATTATAAAAATGCTAAGAAAACATGTTCTATTTGCAAACAAAACATTTAAATAGCTGCCTATCTACCGGTAGGATGGGGTGGAGGATGGACGTAGAACCTCAGATTTGTATTGATTTTTACTTATTTGGGGGACAGCTGCCCCCCTGCACCCCCTTGTCTATGCTCAAGGGGGGTCACAGGAAGGAAACAAGGTTGGAAGGAGGCTGTGGTCGGAAAAAAGGTTGGGAAACCCTGGGTTAGAGCATTGTGCTGATAATGTCAAGGTTGCAGTCTTGATCCCTGTATAGGAGAATTGCATATTCCTGCACTGCAGGGAGTTGGACTAGAATGATTCCCAGTGTTCCTTCCAACTCTACAATTATATGGTTCTATTTTCGCTGTTGTTGCTGCCAGCAACATGAATGGTGGCTCATGGTGGACAGAAGCTGTGGAAGCTGAGACTTGATGACCTGGTTCTGCACTAAGAGACAGCCAAGTGTCACGGTCCAGTTTGCGGGCAGTCAGAGTCCTAGCTGAGGACGTCAGGACCGGGGGCAAGATGGCAGGGTGGGAGCAGGAACGAGAGTCCAGAAGCCAGGGGTCCGAGGGTCAGGAAGCAGGGGGTCACGAAGTCAGGGGTCCGAGGGTCAAGAAGCAAGGAGTCACGAAGTCAAAGGTCCAAGGATCAGGAAGCAAGAAGCCAAACGCAGCAAGGCGAGAAATGAATTGCTATGGCAAAGAGCTAAAGGGAAATGCTGACCTTATATCCCTTCTCAACTTCTGACACCAGGTGCAGTGAGTTACCAAGCAGCCTCACCTGTGCGGCCGCGCCTTGCCTCTCCAGAACAAACTTAGGAAGGCCCCAGTCCTGCAAAGCCCTACTGGTCACAGGGCCTGGCTCCTGCACGCACTCCTGACACCAAGATGGTCTCTGGCCTCTTTAGCAGCCTCAGCTTTTGTAGCTGGAGTCAGCCAGGATCCCGCCCTCCCAGGCTAGGTAGAATAAGGCCTGCAGGCAGGTCTTCCAGGATCCAGTTTCCTGGATTATTTTTAGGAAGGCATATGCTTCAGATGTATGGTGTGTATGCAAAGACTTGAAAGCCCACATTTTATATGGAGAAAGATTTGAAGGAATGGAAACAATATCACGCATATGTTCAGGGTGAGAGTTCCAGACAGAAATCGAAAATGAAATTGTTTGTGGGCGAGAGAACTTTGGGTAGCTGAAAATGGTTTTGATGGAGGAGCGAAGGTCATAGGCAGATTGATATACAGTATTAAGAAATCAAGGAAGACAGGCAAGGCTCTTGAGCACTTTAAAGGCAATCACAATTAATTTGTGATGGGTGTGGAGAGCCAGTATAGGATAAAGGTGCATTGCCTAAACTTCTTCCTTTATTATCTTTCTTTCTTTCTAACCTGCTCTCTTGCTCCTAAGGGATTAACAGTCCCAATCTAATTTCTTTACCCCATAAAAAACAAAGGTAGTTCATAAGAAAGAAAAAACAACCCTCCAAAATGCACAGTTGGGCAACGCCTTTATAGACCTTATGGCTGCAACATCAGCTTAACTTTTGTATCACTATGCTGTTCCGAAAGTAATTACAAAGGTTATTCAGAACATAAGAATAGTACTCCGGATCAGACCAATGGCCTAGAAGCCTGTTTTCATAGCAGCCATCAACTAGATGCCTAGTTGGGAAACTAGCAAGCAGAACATGAGCATAAGAGCACCCTTCCCTCCTGTGGCTTCCAGAATCTGGTACTTGAAAGCATTGCTGTGGAGATACAGCATAGGCATCATGGCTATTAGCCATCAATAGCCCTCTCTTCCATCCCTTTAAAGTCATCCAATGCAGAATCCAATCTGCAAAACTTTTCTCAGCCAGAAGCAGCTTTGAGGAAACAGGAGGCCTGCTGAAAAGACCACCTGGTCCAGCATAATAAATACCGGTAATAATAAATTTTATTTATATCCCGTCCTCCCCAGCCGAAGCTGGGCTCAGGGCGGCTAACAACAATAAAACAGTACAACAGTACAACACAACACTCTAAAATCATTCATTATAAAATTAATTCAAATCAAACCTCTGGCAACGATTGGGCCAGAGCTCCGCGAAGATTGCCGAAGGAGGGAGTCAGGCTGTGCCCTGGCCAAAGGCCTGGTGGAACAGCTCTGTCTTGCAGGCCCTGCGGAAATATGTCAAGTCCCGCAGGGCCCTAGTCTCTTGTGACAGAGTGTTCCACCGCATCTTGTTCTCAGTGGCCAAACAGGTGCTTATGAGGAACCCCCAAGAACATAAACACCATGCTTTATATAACCTGTTTACAGTATTTATTCCCCTGCCTTCCTCCATGTGCAGAGAAACATGCATGCTTCCCTCCTTTAAAACAAGCTGGCAACCCCATCAAGCAGGAAAATAGTGGGGCAGGATTAAGATCACCAAATGAACTTCCTCAGCCAGTAAAGCAGGAGACTCTTAATTTCAAGGCAGAGCTTTCCAAGCTGTGTGTCGTGACACATCAGTGTCAGCTGCAGTGTGTACATATGTCACGCGATGTGCCCTCCCAGGCAGAACCGCTTAACCTCCGGTTTGCTAGTAAAACTGAATGACTGCACTGCGAAATGATGCAGATCTAAAAAGCGTGTCACCAACATGAAAAAGTTTGGAACGTTCTGCCTTAGGAGTCAAGGGTTGGAACTAAATGTTGGGCAAAAAGGTTCGTGCATTGCAGGGGGTTGGACTAGATGGTAAAGGTAAAAAGATGACCCTTCCAACTCCACAATTCTTTTTTTTCCTCCCCACAAAAGAAAAACAAACAAAAACAAAAACACTCAGGGCATCTCAACCTCTGCCCAGTTGTTTAGCAGGGCAGCGTCCACAAAGGAGGCAGCGACCCCGGCGGCGAAAGCGCAATCCTGAGTAAGTTGCATGGAAGTCAGTCCCACGGTCAGCTTCCACACTGGGAGCACAGAGAGCAAATGCCTGAAGCAGGGCCGGATTTAGGTTTGATGAGGCCCTAAGCTTCTGAAGATAATGGGGCCCTTTATATGTCCAGCTGTCCTTTGTCAACAACAAATTGTCACTGTTTTTTGTGTTGAATATACAGTCATACCTCGGGTTGAAGTTGCTTCAGGTTGAGCATTTTTGGGTTGCGCTCCATGGCGACCCAGAAGTAACGGAATGCGTTACTTCCGGGTTTCGCCGCTCACGCATGTGCAGACGGTCAAATCACATCACACGCATGCGCAGAAGCGGTGAATCGTGACCCGCGCACGCACAGACACGGATTGCGTTTGCTTCAGGATGTGAACGGGGCTCCAGAACAGATCCCGTTCATATTCAGAGGTACCACTGTATGTTATGTGGTAATTTATGGACCTAATAGATATCTAAAGCCATTTGCACATAACAAAATATGTATTTTATCAAAGTAATTGTTGAACTGAAATACAATTAAGAAGTCTATTAATAGTGAAATAATTAACTTAAAATGATTCTTTATTAATAACAATTATTTTGTCTGTTTTTTATCTAATATTTTGCAAATGTACATACAGATTTTTCCCCCTTGGGGGCCCCCAAGAGAGTGGGGCCCTAAACTATAACTTGTTTAGCTTATACGTAAATCCTGACCCCGAAAAACAAATTCAGAGCAAACTCCAAACTTTACATAGCGGGGCAAAGGCAGCCCTCGGCTGCCGGAGCGACCGCAGGCGCAGCGCAACACCGGCTCCAGGACGGGTGGCGCTTGCCAAGGGCCGCCTTTCCACGCCCCCCACCCCCGCGGAGACCCCCACCAGGTTGTGTAACCGGGAGCAAGCGGCCCCCATCCAGCAACCGCGAAAGGCAACAGCCCCGAACTCTCCGCCCAGAGAGAGAGTGCGCAGGCGCGAAGGGAGCGTCCTTCCCCTCCCACCCCGCCGCTCCGGCCGGCGCACTCTCTATGGCCGGGCGGAGCGGAGGGCGGGGCCGGCGCGCTGACGCGACGACGGCCCGTCGGGCGGGTCCCGTGATGGCCGCCGCCGCCGCGGCCGTCGTTCTGTCAGTCGGCGCGCTCCCGGCTGCTGCTGCCCCCGGACCGGTTCCCGGACGCAGCCTCCGCGACGCCATGGCCGAAGACGAGAGCCCGGAGTCGGCCGGCGAAGGGTGAGTGCGGGGAAGGGGGGGGGGAGGCCGGTTCGGCGAAACAGGCGGGCGGAGGGACACACACGCAAACGCGCATACACACATACGGCTACACGCATGTAGACGCGCCCCGGTTTTGTGCTGCGGGGGCACCTGCGTGAGGCAGGTGCGAGTGCAGAGGAGGACGCCTTACGTAACCGCGCGCTCTTGTTAGCCCATGTAAACACGAGGAAGTGTCCCCCCCCCATTGCATCCTTCAGGACCCAACTTGGGTAGCCCTATATTTTATTGCTGGGAATAATGGGCTGATTTAAAGGTCTTTTTTTTATTAAAAAGGGGGAAGGGTGTGTGAGACAGGTAGTGTTATTTTATTGCTTGGAATAATGGGCTGGTTTAAAGGTCCTTTTTTAAAAAGGGGGGAAGGGGGTGAGGTAGTGTTATTTTATTGCTGGGAATAAGGGTTTGATTTAAAGTTCCTTTTTAAAAAAAGAAAAGTGGGGAAGGGTGTGTGTGTGAGGTACTGTTATTTTATTGCTGGGAATATGGGGCTGATTTAAAGGTTGCCCCCCTCTTCTTTTATTTTAAAAAGGGGTGTTGAAACCCAACCGTCTTCCCCTGTGGTTCCCTCTCCAAAACACTGATTTGGGGATGGAGCCATGGGGAGACGTTTGATGCCGCCACATAGGCAGGCAGGCAGCCAGCAAGATCTGTGCTGTCTCTTAAGCAGCTGGGCAGTTTTCCCATAAAGGCTTCTCTAGACATGTGAGTTCCTTACATCGTAGGCATAACAAGTGTTTCTGGCGCCTTTGTGCCCCAATAATAATAATAATAATAATAATAATAATAATTTATCATCTATACCCTGCCCATCTGGCTGGGTTTCCTCAGCCACTCTGGGTGGCACCCAAAAGAATATGAAAAACACAATAAAACTTCAAACATTTAAAACTTCCCTAAACAGGGCTGCCTTCGAACGTCTCCTAGTGAGGCCTTTGGCGTTTGGGGGACCAGTTTGCTAAACCAAGGAATCAAAGCAAGAAGGAAACCTTTGCTGGTGTGAAGTGTATCGAGAGAGGGGTTTTGTATAAGCGCCCTTATACCATAATGGGCACAAGTCATCATGGTTGCAGTTTTAAAAAATGATGTCTGGACATTTTTTTGTTGAGCTTCACATTTTGAGGATGTCAAGGGGGGGTTAAATTTCTCGGTGAGTTCTGGCTCAGGTTCAACCCATATAAAGTGGTCCCCGCTGTTGTAAATCATCCCGCATAACCCTTTCATAATAAAACCACCATGTATGGTTACTCAGATGTGTGTGTATATTATTCTAACTGTATTGATACACAATGATAGATGCTGGCACATCCATATACTGTGCTGTCTCTAAAGCAGGTTTTTTGCTGTTTCCCCATATGGCTTCTCCAGAAATCATTCAAGTGCACTTAACAACCTAAAAAAATGCCTCAATTTTAACACATGCTTCCATATGTACTCAAACCCCCACCTTCCGCTGACTTTATCTTTTGAACTTCGTCTGCACCCACTTTTTATAATTTTTGTATGTATTATCCATTTTGTACTTCCTTGTACAGTATCTGGATCTTCAGTCTATCTCCTAAAAAAACACCTTTGATAGACATACTGCTTCTGCCTTCTCAGTCACTGATATATATTTAGTAGCATCTTACCTAGATATCTTGTTCTCTAGTTTCACATATTTCTCCATCTTCTACATCAGTTGTGTCTATTAGCTCCCTCCTTGTCCTTCCACCAGCAGGTGAAGAAGACCTTATTTCAACTGGCTTTTGGGAACTTTTAATGAAAACACAGGCGCCATGCTGTTTTCATTGTAATTATCCATATGTTTTTCATAGATCTTTAATATTTATTCTATTTAATTGCCTTTTAGTTTTATGTTTTTAGCTTTTTATTTTATTTCCTGTCAGGGAAAAAGGCAGATAATAATAATAATAATAATAATAATAATAATAATAATAATTAGGCTGAGTGGTAACAGCTCTCCTGCATCTCTTCAGGTCATCTTCTATCAGATGCTTTTATGAAGAAATGGCAGGGGGTGTATTTAGAACTTTCTGTGTGAAAAGCATGTGCTTTACCACTGAGCTATAATCCCCACTTTCCCATTCCTTCCATCTTTTCAAAATACAAACCCAATTCAATAAATACTCAGTATTATGCTTTCTCAAATTCTCCTTGCCCCTCTAAGCTTCCTGCTGTGTACCCTCAATTATTCTTATGTATATATTGCAAAATAGTTTATTCTTTACATTTACTTCCTCTGCTACTTACAGTAGCTTATCCCAAGTATAGATTACAATAGTTTATTTGTTCTCCTAGAACTTGTACTGTTGGCCTTTGTATAATTAGATCACAATGCACATTATGTGGTAAGTACCTGCTGTCCTGGTTATTTCAGTTCCTTGTCTGTTCTCCATGATGTATATGTTCTGTTCTGCCACAAAACAATTCCCACAAATCATGGTTGTCTCCCAAGTGCACACTTGACCTACGCAAACCAAAAACAACAAATTAATGCTTAGTTTTGATATAGCATTTGAGGGGATTCAAGCTGTTTCATGCACATTGTTTCTGTAATTTGTACAATCCTCCTTCAAGGCAGGTAAGATTTATGTGCTTATTGCAAAAAGGGGCAAAAAGGGGCATGGACTTTCTTGTAAGTTCATAGCTGGTTTGAGATTTGAACTAGTGGATAGAAGTTTTTCTTCTTCTCATAGAACTGTAGAGCTGGAAGAGATCCTGACGGTCATTTAGTCCAACTCCCTGCAATACAGGAATCTCAACACATGGTTCCCCATCCAATTTGAAGCCATACCAGACCCTGCTTAGCTTTGCAAATGTTCAGTAGTTTCTGTGAAGTGGTAGAGTCCTGTTCAAGTCATAACAAGCTGAATCTGGGAAGACTTTGGATAGATATAAAGAAGCACTTCACACAGCTCGTATCTAAATTATGAAATTCATTACCAAAATATGTAGTAATGACTATCAATATGGAAGCTTAAAAAGGGATCAGGTGAATTCATGGAGGATTAAGCTGCCAATGGCTATTAACCATTATATCTATATGATGCCAATATATATGGGATATGCCCCTGGATATCCGTTGCTGGAAAGCCCAAGTGGGGAGGACGCTGTTGTGCTCCTCTTATTATTTTTTTATATATATACAAGTAGTCTCTTTGCCACAGTGCCACACCAGTTCAAAAAACTAGTTTGAACTACCTTGCCCTGTTGGACATGCCCAATAAGACAGTCACTTCTCTTGTTCTGGGAAATGAAATCAGTGAGATACCTGTGTGATATTTGATGTCATACGACTGATTTGCGTGGTATTAATTTCTATTGCTGTACTTAGTCACATTCTACAGGATGAACCAGTCATGTAACCTCTGCCCCCCATTATGTGTTGCTTCAGCAGTTTCGTTATGCCCAGCATTGTGGTAGATCAAGAACAATGCATGCCAAAATTGCATGTAGAATCACAGTGCCATGAGGATTTTAAACTGTACATGCTCCTCTCAATGGCTCTTTTGGTAAGGGTCAAACAGAAATCTTTAATTTGGCTGCTTCTGCTTTGGAGAAAAAAGTGTTAATGGATGAATTGTTAATCATAGTCAGTTGCCTGTTTCCTGCTAAAGACCACTCCCTCCTGGCTGCTTTTTACCCCTAAAAGCAGGCATAGGCAAACTCGGCACTCCAGGTGTTTTGGGACTACAGTTCTCATCATCCCTGACCATTGGGAGGTGTAGTCCAAAAACATCTGGAGGGCTGAGTTTGCCTACGCCTGCCTAACAGTGATGCTTACTATAATCAACATCTCTTCAGGCAAAGAGCAGCCAGAATGGGAGGAGTGATTTTCAGCAGAAAGCAGGCATGGGCTCGCGATCCAAATTTGGAACAAGTTCCAGATTGGAGCCTTGCAGCTGCAATTTCACCATTAATGGCACAACACATGTGGCCTGACATTAGGGCTGGGCAATATATCATCCAAAACATGTTTCAAGTCCATATTGTAATATTGGTTTCACAATTTTAGATCTGGCATTCTATCACTTATCTTAATTGTGCTGTGCAACAATCACAATGTGGGGAAACCGTGACGCCAACCAGTGCCTCTGCATAGCCCCACCCTTATTTCAGATATTGTGATATATCAGTATATTGAGATGTTGAAAACCAGGTATCCCCCAGCCCTGCCTGACATACACTTGACCTTTTTTTGGAGGGGCACAGAGCAAATCAGGGGCTCATTTGTGAGTTCGTTGTGATGAATGGATCATTCCCTGGTGGAGTTTAGGCTGGGTATTGCACCCTACTAGGGTTCCATCTATATTGGAGCAGTCTGGAGTATTGTGGCCTGAGGATGTGGACAAGCTGCTTGAAGTGCTGCCAAGGACTGATTATTGCTTCACTGGAGGAGGGAGAAGTTCCATCTGCCTTGAAGGAAGCAGTGGCGTACCCACTCCCTAAGAAGACCTCCCTGTGCCCCTTTGGGGCAAGGTGCTTGAGAGAGTGGCAGGCTCCAGCTTCCAGCATTCTTGGAAGAAATTGATTACTTGGGTAACCAAGTACTTGGGTTCATGTTGCTCTGGCTTCAGGCCTAGCCATAACACTGATAAAGCCTTCTTTGCCCTAGTTGGCCCCATCAGCTGGGAGAGATACGGTGGTAGGTGTGACCCTGGTTGTTTTGCTTGAACTTTCAGCAGCTTTTTATACTGTTGACCACAGTATCCTTCTGGAGCATCTCAGGGGAGCGGGCACAGTACTTCAGCGATTCTGTTCCTATCTCCAGGACAGCTTCCAGAAAGTGATTATGGAAGGCCACTGTTCCGCACCATGGAAACTGTGGTGTGTTGTTTGTCAGGGTGTTGTCATGTTCCCCATACCGGGTGCTGTCCTCAGTAGTTTCGGTGTGATCAATATGTAGATGACACCCAGGTCTGTTTCTCTGTTCCATCTGAATCAGGGCATTTAGTATACCC